ATGAGCCACTTTTCCGCCAAATTTTGAGAAAATCTTCGAAAATCTCGTTTTTGGGAGCTATTGCTCTGGGTGAATCCGATTTTTCTCTCCAAATTGTAAGCGTGAGTGCGAGAGTGACATTGCGAAAGGAAGCTGTACAGCGATGACAGGGGCAAGACAAAATTTTTGCACGATATGATCCACTTTTCCGCCAAATTTTGAGAAAATCTTCGAAAATCTCGCTTTTGGGAGCTATTGCTCTGGATGAATCCGATTTTTCTCTCCAAATTGTAAGCGTGAGTGCGAGAGTGACATTGCGAAAGGAAGCTGTACAGCGATGGCAGGGGCAAGACAAAATTTTTGCACGATATGAGCCACTTTTCCGCCAAATTTTGAGAAAATCTTCGAAAATCTCGCTTTTGGGAGCTATTGCTCTGGATGAATCCGATTTTTGTCTCCAAATTGTAAGCGTGAGTGCGAGAGTGACATTGCGAAAGGAAGCTGTACAGCGATGACAGGGGCAAGACAAAATTTTTCCACGATATGAGCCACTTTTCCGCCAAATTTTGAGAAAATCTTCGAAAATCTCGCTTTTGGGAGCTATTGCTCTGGGTGAATCCGATTTTTCTCTCCAAAATGTAAGCGTGAGTGCGAGAGTGACATTGCGAAAGGAAGCTGTACAGCGATGACAGGGGCAAGACAAAATTTTTCCACGATATGAGCCACTTTTCCGCCAAATTTTGAGAAAATCTTCGAAAATCTCGCTTTTGGGAGCTATTGCTCTGGGTGAATCCGATTTTTCTCTCAAAATTGTAAGCGTGAGTGCGAGAGTGACATTGCGAAAGGAAGCTGTACAGCGATGACAGGGGCAAGACAAAATTTTTGCACGATATGAGCCACTTTTCCGCCAAATTTTGAGAAAATCTTCGAAAATCTCGTTTTTGGGAGCTATTGCTCTGGGTGAATCCGATTTTTCTCTCCAAATTGTAAGCGTGAGTGCGAGAGTGACATTGCGAAAGGAAGCTGTACAGCGATGACAGGGGCAAGACAAAATTTTTGCACGATATGATCCACTTTTCCGCCAAATTTTGAGAAAATCTTCGAAAATCTCGCTTTTGGGAGCTATTGCTCTGGATGAATCCGATTTTTCTCTCCAAATTGTAAGCGTGAGTGCGAGAGTGACATTGCGAAAGGAAGCTGTACAGCGATGGCAGGGGCAAGACAAAATTTTTGCACGATATGAGCCACTTTTCCGCCAAATTTTGAGAAAATCTTCGAAAATCTCGCTTTTGGGAGCTATTGCTCTGGATGAATCCGATTTTTGTCTCCAAATTGTAAGCGTGAGTGCGAGAGTGACATTGCGAAAGGAAGCTGTACAGCGATGGCAGGGGCAAGACAAAATTTTTGCACGATATGAGCCACTTTTCCGCCAAATTTTGAGAAAATCTTCGAAAATCTCGTTTTTGGGAGCTATTGCTCTGGATGAATCCGATTTTTGTCTCCAAATTGTAAGCGTGAGTGCGAGAGTGACATTGCGAAAGGAAGCTGTACAGCGATGGCAGGGGCAAGACAAAATTTTTGCACGATATGAGCCACTTTTCCGCCAAATTTTGAGAAAATCTTCGAAAATCTCGCTTTTGGGAGCTATTGCTCTGGATGAATCCGATTTTTCTCTCCAAATTGTAAGCGTGAGTGCGAGAGTGACATTGCGAAAGGAAGCTGTACAGCGATGACAGGGGCAAGACAAAATTTTTGCACGATATGAGCCACTTTTCCGCCAAATTTTGAGAAAATCTTCGAAAATCTCGCTTTTGGGAGCTATTGCTCTGGATGAATCCGATTTTTGTCTCCAAATTGTAAGCGTGAGTGCGAGAGTGACATTGCGAAAGGAAGCTGTACAGCGATGGCAGGGGCAAGACAAAATTTTTGCACGATATGAGCCACTTTTCCGCCAAATTTTGAGAAAATCTTCGAAAATCTCGCTTTTGGGAGCTATTGCTCTGGGTGAATCCGATTTTTCTCTCCAAAATGTAAGCGTGAGTGCGAGAGTGACATTGCGAAAGGAAGCTGTACAGCGATGACAGGGGCAAGACAAAATTTTTGCACGATATGATCCACTTTTCCGCCAAATTTGAGAAAATCTTCGAAAATCTCGTTTTTGGGAGCTATTGCTCTGGGTGAATCCGATTTTTCTCTCCAAATTGTAAGCGTGAGTGCGAGAGTGACATTGCGAAAGGAAGCTGTACAGCGATGACAGGGGCAAGACAAAATTTTTGCACGATATGAGCCACTTTTCCGCCAAATTTTGAGAAAATCTTCGAAAATCTCGCTTTTGGGAGCTATTGCTCTGGGTGAATCCGATTTTTCTCTCCAAATTGTAAGCGTGAGTGCGAGAGTGACATTGCGAAAGGAAGCTGTACAGCGATGACAGGGGCAAGACAAAATTTTTCCACGATATGAGCCACTTTTCCGCCAAATTTTGAGAAAATCTTCGAAAATCTCGCTTTTGGGAGCTATTGCTCTGGGTGAATCCGATTTTTCTCTCCAAATTGTAAGCGTGAGTGCGAGAGTGACATTGCGAAAGGAAGCTGTACAGCGATGACAGGGGCAAGACAAAATTTTTGCACGATATGATCCACTTTTCCGCCAAATTTTGAGAAAATCTTCGAAAATCTCGTTTTTGGGAGCTATTGCTCTGGGTGAATCCGATTTTTCTCTCCAAATTGTAAGCGTGAGTGCGAGAGTGACATTGCGAAAGGAAGCTGTACAGCGATGACAGGGGCAAGACAAAATTTTTGCACGATATGATCCACTTTTCCGCCAAATTTTGAGAAAATCTTCGAAAATCTCGCTTTTGGGAGCTATTGCTCTGGGTGAATCCGATTTTTCTCTCCAAATTGTAAGCGTGAGTGCGAGAGTGACATTGCGAAAGGAAGCTGTACAGCGATGACAGGGGCAAGACAAAATTTTTGCACGATATGAGCCACTTTTCCGCCAAATTTTGAGAAAATCTTCGAAAATCTCGCTTTTGGGAGCTATTGCTCTGGGTGAATCCGATTTTTCTCTCCAAAATGTAAGCGTGAGTGCGAGAGTGACATTGCGAAAGGAAGCTGTACAGCGATGACAGGGGCAAGACAAAATTTTTGCACGATATGATCCACTTTTCCGCCAAATTTGAGAAAATCTTCGAAAATCTCGTTTTTGGGAGCTATTGCTCTGGGTGAATCCGATTTTTCTCTCCAAATTGTAAGCGTGAGTGCGAGAGTGACATTGCGAAAGGAAGCTGTACAGCGATGACAGGGGCAAGACAAAATTTTTGCACGATATGAGCCACTTTTCCGCCAAATTTTGAGAAAATCTTCGAAAATCTCGTTTTTGGGAGCTATTGCTCTGGGTGAATCCGATTTTTCTCTCCAAATTGTAAGCGTGAGTGCGAGAGTGACATTGCGAAAGGAAGCTGTACAGCGATGACAGGGGCAAGACGAAATTTTTGCACGATATGATCCACTTTTCTCCCATTGAAAATATCTCTGAAAATGTTACTTTTTAGCGGTTGTGGCAATACATGTACTGATAAATTGAAATTTCACTTGAGAAAATTATAGGCATGAAAGATGTTTATTTATGGGTGTGCCCTGCCCGATTGCTAGCGACCCGTAGGGTCGCTAGTCTTATATATAAAGCTGAATGTCTGTTTGTATGTATTTCTGTCTGTCTGTCTGTCTGTCTGTCTGTACGTATGTTCCGAATAGAAAATTCCATTTCTGAACCGATCCGGACCAAACTTGGCACACATACACTACGGGCCCCGGCGGGTGTCATAGGCTACTTTTCGTCATCGATCGATATCGATTTTATCGATTTTTATCGATTTTTTTGCTGAGTTCACCTACGGGGCTGGGAGTTGGCAAAGGGGGGTAATCGAGCATGGGGATTCCGAATACAATATTGGTTTTCAGGATTATCGATTACTTTTATCGATTTTATCGATTTTTTTGCAAAGTTTGAGCTACGGGGCTGAGACTTGGCACAGGGGGGTAATCGAGCATGGGGATTCCGAATACAATATTGGTTTTCAGGATTACCGATTACTTTTATCGATTTTACCGATTTTTTTGCAAAGTTTGAGCTACGGGGCTGGGACTTGGCACAGGGGGGTAATCGAGCATGGGGATTCCGAATACAATATTGGTTTTCAGGATTATCGATTACTTTTATCGATTTTATCGATTTTTTGCAAAGTTTGAGCTACGGGGCTGGGAGTTCGCACAGTGGGGTAATCGAGCATGGGGATTCCGAATACAATATTGGTTTTCGGGATTATCGATTACTTTTATCGATTTTATCGATTTTTTTGCAAAGTTTGAGCTGGGGGGCTGGGAGTTGGCACAAGGGGGTAATCGAGCATGCTGATCATCCCCAAGGGGGGTCCCCCCGCAGGTCAAACTTTACAAAAAAAATCGATAAAATCGATAAAAGTAATGGACGATCCTGAAAACTAATATTGTGTTCGTAATCAGCATGCTCGATTACCCCCCTGTGCAAAATCCCAGCCTCGCACGTCAAAATTTACAAAAAATCGATAAAATCAATAAAAGTAATCGATAATTCTGAAAACTAATATTGTATTCGGAATCCCCATGCTCACTTCCCCCCCCCCCCCTGTGCCAACTCCTAGCCCCGTAGGTGAACTCAGCAAAAAATCGATAAAAATCGGTAAAATCGACATCGATCGATAACGAAAAGTGGACTGTGACACCCGCCGCGGCCCGAAGTGTATGTGTGCCAAGTTTGGTCCGGATACGGCGGAGCCGGGTAAGCCAGCTAGTTTGATGTATAAAGCAAAGAAGGGTTTGCTTAAATAAGTATGACGATGACAAAGAACTTCGGAACGAAATTGCAAACGCATCATAACTCGAAAAATCGTTCTGCGTTGCTGTAGAGAAGCAATATTTGTTTTCCCCGCGCAAACGCGACTGCTGAACAATCGTGCAATCAGTGAATCATATCGAAGGAAACAACCCTTCCACTCCTCTCTTGCACCTCTTCCCTTGCCTACTTTGCTCTTTTGAACACCGATGAGCTCCAATACGGCACGATATAACGATATCTTGGCAAAAGCACGATGGTACCGATGTTCTCCGGAAGTTCTTGGTCCTTGCATAGAAATCTCTTCGTCCTTGTTTGAAGGTGTCGTTTAGAACTCCAACCAGACTTGAATGCTCTCGACGAAGAGAAAGATTACTGCGCATTTTGTGTTTCAACATTATGTGAAGGTTGTTTCCGAATAAACTTTTTTGATCAAACATTTCCAGAATTTTCCTTAGATTGCCCTCCCAAGCCAAATACCGTCAGCTGCAAAGATAAAAAACCGAACTTCAGAAAACGATTTGTAGAGCTACCGTGGTCCACTGACAATGTCGTAGATGGCCAGCAACGGTGAGCTGTGGCTTGCTTCTTGACACGGCAGAAAACTGCAGTTTTCAGATACGCAATCATTGGGAAAGCTCTAGAAGATTTAGCCACCAATGGTGCAGGAAGTGTCGAGGACGTTATCGTGAGATGATCTCGGTTTCTCTGTAAATTTGTAGACGGAACGCGTTCCTACTTTTCTGCTTGTATAGGGGCCTGCAGGATCGCGAGAGTCGGACGTGCGTACGGCCATTGCGCCGCGCACGTCCGATGTCACTAAGGCAAGTGCCAGACTTATCCACTTCAGCCGTTCGTTCCATTCATAGGTCAAATCACTACACTGTTTAACAGCAAAGGTGGTGAACCGAATGAACCTGTTCAACAGGATAAGTCTGGCACTTACCTGGGCCGTCGCACGCAGTTCTGACGTGCGCGGCGCAATGGCCGTACGCACGTCCGACTCTCGCGATCCTGCAGGCCCCTATAACACGACCTCCATTTATTGTGAAAAGTTAGTCCTTTCAGAATACAATAAAACAATACGCCTCATGGGTCCCGTCTTTCGATGGTCTCCGAGATTACGTAGATCATCGCAAAAGCCAGCGAATTCTCCAGACTATAACAGGAATAGCCGCACTAGCTGTTAAAGCAAAGTGCGTGATTACTGGGGTGAGTTTTCTGGTGTTCCACTGAAGTTCTTGGTTAGAGCTAAACTGCTAGACGGAAAATAAGGAACAATCAAATTAGATTGATTTTCGAGGCCGAGCTCACTTCTTACAGTTTTAAAGTTCCTGTAAGAGTGTTGAAGTCGCTCTCTTTCTCTGCTTGCCAGCTACTATGGATAATGGTTTCTTTGTAAAATAAAAGCTACCGATGAGTATCACACGGAGCTCTATTCATGCGCCCACATACATGGTAGTCTTTACTTACATATCTTCTCCACATAACGTATTCAGCCTCTGCCCCTTTTGTCAGCCAGTCAAAGTGGATCTGTAACTCTTAGCCAAGAACAATGTGCATGCATTCTCGCAAATGGATTCTTTTGCACATTTCCGAAAGAAAGAGGATTTTGCAATGAAATAAACTTCTCCGAGTGAGTGCAAAGCATAAACGTTTAAATTAAAAGTGAAGTGTTTGTAGGATTTTCCACGCCGCTGATCAGCTGTCTCATGGTAGGCTAGATTTTCTGTTGCACTACTTTTCAAGAGTGCTAGAAAAGATGCCAACTGGCTGTGTTTCATTTTGTCGCACTGCCTTGAAAGAGGATACCTTTCCAAACTGGGCCAACGACGAGTCACAGGTATCCCGAAAAAGCTGACACGCATTGCGATCCACCTCCTTCAGCTCCAATCCGTCGCAGTGGATCAAAGCGGAGGATTTGGTATCTTCTTGGGATGTGCACCTGTTTACTTTCCTTATCGAATGATTGGAGGCTCTGTTCTCTCCCCCACTCCTCTAAATGTATATCAGGTTAGAAGAGCAACTCAAACGCTTCGCTATCTCAACTTCGTAATAAAGGAGGGGATTCGTTTCCTGGTTTGTCCAGAACTGATTGTGTCCTGCCTTTTATGTGAGCCAATGACTGTATCATGGCTAAGGGAGCCTGAAGCGATCCAAATCGTTGGTGCGCAGCTCTTCAATAATTGTGAAAGATACAGTGATGGTGGAGGCTGGATATGTGAGTCAGTTTGAAAGCAGATCTGGGAAAAACCTTCAACAATTCTCCATAAAATGTTTTTGCGTTATTCGAAGGTTATGCTGTTACAGATAGTCCTGCACCCGGGCCTTCTTATTACCGCTACGATGATCAAGATCGCGATAAATTCAGGTTAAACCTCCTTGGAGAATCTGTTTTTGTTAATTAGACCACATTGTATCGTTATTTTACCATTTTCCCTGCACCTTAATCACACAATATTTACTGTTAAGTATACTCGGCTGTATTTGGTACCATCCGGATGCTCCTTTTTCTAGTTTTTTATGAGTGCTCTCGATTAAGTGAACCCGCCTCGAATTTTTACCTTGGAGGGACAAAAGCCTCATAATTTTTCTTTTGGCTCCGTTTCTTCAACATCTCTAAACACTATACTTCTTCAATTTTTGCGAAAACAAAATATCACCGCAACTTTTTTATTATGTTTTGAGCTTTCTTATGAATCGGCGCAAGACAATCGAAACAAAAAAGTGTACCATCTTCAAAATAAGAAGTGTTTACTGCTTGGCAGTTTCTTTATTCTTTACAGACGTGTGACATCAGAGGTAATCGTTTTGAATGCTCCTTTCAACATCCATAGATGGCAGTATACCAAAGAAGGCATCGATGACGAGCTCAACAAGGTATCAATGTGCATGTGGCTCATTGTAACTTGCATATTTTTGCGCTTTTAGGCTTAGGCTGGTTTCATGTCGACGAACAATAAACAACCAATAGTAGTTCACAATAATGGATGTAGTGTTTTAAGTGAATTAGTAGAGGCAGTAAGAATTCGTGCTTTTCGAAACGAACAGACAATACCTTCATATTGGAGTAACGACAGTGACGGTGATTTTGAGAGCTGAGCACACGGCTATCTACTTCAAGACTATTTACGATCTTTAGAAGTCGGAGCTAGGACATACACACAAGACGTGATAGGATCAAATGTAACCGGATTTTGGGAATGCGGTGTTTCTCGATATGACAAAGAACTAAGAAGTTGGTAATCTGAAATTTATCAATGGGTCGCACTGGCCATTCCTCAGACGCGCAATTCGCAAGCAAGTGCCGCAAATCACAAGCACACATTTGTCTCCGCCAAATGTTGTCTTTAGCTCAGCGACACTACCATACTGCTCATAGATACTCAAAAAAGTCGACGAGCTCCGTCAGAGTCCATCGAAATCGTGTCGCATCGCTATATCTTGGTTCTGAGTGAATGAAATTGAAATTCAAGAGCACCGTTCGTACTCAGCTCGGCGAGGTGCATCTTCTGCTAAGCGCTCGTTTGGATACAGAAGGTGGTCTCTTATGGTATTGCCTGGGTATTGAGTGTGGAATGGATAAACACACCGATTGGCCTACCGTAAGCAAAAACCTAAAAAGGCTGTGAGATCTGACCAGGGTCGAGAAAGAGGTGTGGCACACAGCCGCCGGATGCGACCCCCTCCCCCTTAAAGGCTGTGCGGGCAAGTTGAGGATTTTGGGATTTCAGTGACATGCGAAAGTGACCCTTCCTCAGACACAACATCGCGCAAGTGCGAGGTCATAACGCTCGACCTAAAACAAGAAAAACGACCAGAAAGTGGGGAAACATACGCATTGGGGCGGGGTCCTCCGACTGTTCGAGTTCGTGCTATGCTGCAGAGCATAGATGCGATAGGTGGAGAAATTTCTCTGACCCCCTTCACTTTAGGGCCGGCATCTGGCTGACCCTTTTCACCTGAGGTTGAGACTAATCAAGGCAAAAAGTTCTCAGACATCAAGACTGCAAGAGAGTATCGAATCAACAACGTTTCGTTAAAAACGCATGCTTGAGACCTTCTGCGCGCTCAAAGGGCGTTGATAACGAAACGTAATCAAAAAGTAAAAGGATGCTGATTTTTTGAATAATTGACATTGTATCAATGAATACATACTTTACATAATTAGCATGTCAAATAACCCACGTAGACAAAGTGTGAGCGAATTCTGAAGATTCAAGATACTAGCTACCTAAGTGAAATGGTCAAATTCCAACATGATTAACTTTGTTTCAAAGGTGAGTTAGCTATCCGTTTTTGCACTCAAGACAAAGCACTACTCCTTCTTTGTCCACCTCAGGAATCCCGCTTCAGAAGACCTCCAAACTGTGGAACTAGAAGCCAACCAAAATCTCGTTTTTCCCATTTTTCGCTTTTGATCGCTGTGTTTTCACCAAATATTACTCAGAGCTAAGAAGACGAATCAGGTTCCAAACAGTCCTAGGGAATCTACAAGGTTTATGCTATCGATCCATATAAATATGGTTTGCTAAAATTGTTTTTATGACATAGTTAATGGGGTGCGGCACACCCCTCTAAAAGCTGCGGCAGCCGCAGCTTTTAAGGGGGTGTGCCGCACCCCATTAACTATATCAAAAAAACATTTTTAGCGGACAGTATTTAAATGAGTCGATAGCATAAACCTTGTAGATTCCCTAGGACTGTTTGGAACCTGATTCGTCTTCTTAGCTCTGAGTAATATTTGGTGAAAACACAGCGATCAAAAGCGAAAAATGGGAAAAACGAGATTTTGGTTGGCTTCTAGTTCCACAGTTTGGAGGTCTTCTGAAGCGGGATTCCTGAGGTGGACAAGAGTAGTGCTTTGTCTTGAGTGCAAAAACGGATAGCTAATTCACCTTTGAAACAAAGTTAACCATGTTGGAATTTGACCATTTCACTTAGGTAGCCTAGTATCTTGAATCTTCAGAATTCGCTCACACTTTGTCTACAAGGGTTATTTGATATGCTAATTATGGATATGTTGCCCATTATGTTTGACAGGGCCTTCAAGTAATGCTATCTTAAGTGTATAGTTCAGGGGGGGGGGAGGTCTTATTAAGACAGCAATCAGGGGGGGGGGGGTCGTAACCAGCGATCGTGTGCCACACCCCTTGCTTGACCCTGAGTATGACTGTACCCTGCAGGCACTCCCCGAATCGAGCTGATTAGGCTCGAGTTCCTAAGTTCCGTCCTCCTTATATATTCGATTGCCTAATCCTCGTAATTTACAAAGTGAACTGAGCCTGATTGGTCTTCTCTAGTCTCACAATCAGATATTGAAGGCGAAAAACCGAACGAGATTTTGGCTTGCTAATTCCTTAGTCTGAAGGTTATATGAACTGGGATTCCTAATGTAAGCAAAGAAGTAGCAATTCTTTGTACTGAGTGCAAAAACAAGTAGTTAACTCACCTTTACAACAAAGTTAACACGTTCGAAAATGACCATCTCACTTGCAAGTGAGTGGGTGGCCAATTAACTGGAAACCTCAGAATTCACTGAAACTTGAACCACATGAACTATTTAACATGCTGATTAGATGCTCTTAGGCTTTTCGGGCTCTTTTATTATGCTTGCTGTACGTATGCGATAGTAGGCCAAAACATCATTGTGCTAGTATTCATGATGGACCTATCTGACGTTCTTGACAAAATCATGTTAGGCGAACATCAGGATCATCTCGATAACTCCCCCCCCCCCCTTTTGACCCTATACGACCCACCGGGTGCGGCATGCCACACCCCAAGCTTGACCCTGAATCTGACCGCCTATTACGTAATTACCGTACTCAAAGAGACACCACTATATCAGGACCTTAGTTTCAAGATTTGTCCACTTTGAACTAGATATGACGATGCGCCGCAAATTAGGTGAAGACGACTTTTTTGACTAATTATGAACGGTAGTGTATATATCCGGTCAATCGACTAGACTCTTTGCAAGTAGAGAAAGCAAATTTTAGGTCTCATACAAATCTTAGCAGCGGCTAAGGCAGGAAGAGACATGATATACATTTGCGATTTTTACGATGTGAAATATGGAAGTGCTTTGGTGAATCTGTATGACTTGCTAATACAAAGGAAGATTACAGTAGGTAAGAATACAATGCAATACATTCTTACTGAGCTCAAACAACTTGTTCAGGTGCTCTCTACAAGGCTTTGATATCGTACGAGGCATATCACTCGCTGATGAATTCACCTACTTCAAGTAGTCTCCCAGGCTCTGCGAACCAAAAAATATCTGTCTTCAACTATATAACAAACTATATGACAATCTCCTCAGAGATTCAAAAGAGTCAAACTGCATAGGAGCTGCACGGCACTTACGGAACAAAAGGCATGATTATCTTCAGCGCATTCAATAAATGCTTAAGCGACATTTTGACGCAGAAACATGAATAAAGACTAAAGTGACATTCCGAAGGGCAAGCAAGGCGCAGTAGATAATATTAAGTAAGTACATAGTGGAGAATGGTACTACACATTACGAGCTTCTTAATCCTTCACAAAAAATTGCGCAGCATCACTGCAAGCTTTTCTCGATAATTAGCCCCTCCAGATATCTAAAGAATCTACGCTATCAATGAGGTTTGTTGTAAGTATTGACAGCAGTAATTTACTTCTTTAGCTGAATGGTAACGCCAATCCAGTTATATACCTTCTCTTAACTCTAGAGCAATTCGAATTGATTGCCTTAAGCTACCCTTGTCCATTTAAATTGCAGCACATAATTTGATAGAAAAAGAGTCGCTCTCTCCCTTTCCCTTCTTGTAAGTTATTGTGAACTGGAACTTTTCCAGGAGTCTTCTAGAGCTTTCGAGCAAATACGTTCTACCATCCTGTGCGGACCAGGCGGGGAGGAGGGTGGGGGGGAAGGGGGGAGGGGAGCGAGGGAGAAGGGGCGCCAAAATGAATGTGTCAGAAAATTCTCTGAAGTAGCTTCTAAAGGCAGTGTCCAGGCTAAACCTAAGCCCCTCCAATTAATGTCGATCCTGAATGTAGACAGCCAGAAAAGGGGCATCTGCGTTGGTCTGGTCTTCCAGCGTTGTCTGTGAATGGAGATAAGGGGCCTGGAAATCCCTGGCTGGGCGGAGTCTGATATCAGACTCCGCCCAGCCAGGGACTGCCTCCCGACACGTATTGACATGGTAGTGAGCAGAAGCTGTACACTGCTGCAACTGCACCCATGGAGTTGCAGCTCCTCCACGCTGGCATGCTGACGGGGACGAGCGACAAGACAGGGTCCCCTGGAATCGGTTTTTTTTTTTGCGAATTTTGGAGAATTTGAAGTTCGGAGCTGTAATCAGGGCCACGGAAAGGCCCCAGAATGACGAAAACATGGGGGACCAAATTCTGGGTGGACGCTGCCTTTGAACGTTTTGAAGCGCAAATGAGGTGTTGTTACCTTAAACTACGGAAACATTCAGAGAATTCTTCAAGTTGTGTTGAAAGTTCCAGTTAGCTTTGTAGAAACACTGTCAAGGCGTGGCTGCAAAATTTCGGCTAATTGACAAAATTCCAAAAATTTTGGAAAGTACCCCAGAATTTTGGAGGCGGGGAAGGTCTCCGTCATAGAAGACATTCCTTCGTCGCTCGTGCCGAAGAAATTGAAATTCTCCAACCGCCACTGCTCTCTACACAATATGATATGCGGTATAACTAGCATTCATTTACTGCTCAGAGCTTCATAATACTGTCAGTCTCAAATTCTCATAACTTGAATAAGTTATGAGAATCTGAGCAGATCCTGATAATCGAACTCAACTTGTAAAGTGATTGCCCAAGATTATTTATTCATCTGACAAAGTTTGAAAATTAGGACTACCTCACTCTTTGCTCATTCTTTACTATCATGCAAGAAGAAACACTCCATCAAATCGTGCGAACTCATCAGGGTTGTTGCTGAAAGAAGAGTTTCCATGCACAAGTTCGCTCCTAGCAGTGGAGTATCCGAGAGCTCTCTTCCCCCCTCCTTCCAGCCCCCCCCCCCCACCTAAGAATGGGTCGCGAAATTTTTCAAAAATTACTCCCCCTTTTCTAAATTCAAAAAGTCATGGGCCCACAATATTTTGGGAAGCATCCCAAAAATATTTTGGGAGTGCGTGGCTAACGCCATGCACCTTTAACCAAAAATTTTTTGTCGTGCCCTCCCGCTCCCCCAACAGAAATCCTAGGTACACCATTGCTACCTAGTGTTAGTCCAACTTATTTTGGCTACAGTGTTCATCTGCTTACTCGATAAGATATCCAGCTTTCAAGATGTTTAGAGAGCCAGAGCTGACACTAGATTGATGCTAAAGAATGAGGTCTTGCGGACCGAGTCAAACTGCATACCTATCCTGAAAAATCTATACGGACAGTTTTGGAGTTATTGCTTTTAGCAAACTTATGGCCAATGTGGCGTACTTGGGTTTTTGGTAGGCAAAAGTGTGCCGTTGAGGAGGTATTATAATTTCAAAAATCCTCAATACTTTCATCCAAAGATTAATATCAACAAATCGGATGTGCCTGATAAGGCTGGTGAAGGGAAATATAGAGCCTTTGACAGTGGACGTTATCAAATCAGATTCACGCAGATTTCGCGAGCCTTACCCTCAGTAGTCTAAGCAATGCCTCGAGCTGCTGTTTTCTATTTCCTGTTCTCAGAACTTTGACGAGGACTTTTTTCTGCAATCCTCTGAAAATATTCGGAAGTGATGATGGGAGAGATCAAATTTTGAAAAGCGAGTTTCGCGGTCATTCAAACGTCATTTGAAAGCTGGCCTCAACTTAGTTTTTGCACTATGGATCGAATTACAGGCCGTTTTTCGTTATTAGTAGTCCAGTGCGTCACCTCTGCTTCGCAGAGGCTCGCACTGGTCCTACTTTATCTATGCCTTACTCATCCCTGCATAATAATTACATTGAAACTCACCGCGCTGTGTAGGCTATTACGAATGATTCATAAACAACTACTCATTCTTAGAGGTTTTTTGTGTGAGATCGGTATTTTCGCGTGGATGAAATCTTTCCCAGAAGAACAGATGCAAATTTGAATAGGTTACTGGAATTTTTGTGGCTTCCTAGCCGCCATAAGGACAACAAACATCGTGGGCTACATCTCTGTGCAAAAATTTTCTCAAATGATCAGGTAAAATCTTGAAAAATTGACCGTTTACACAGCCAATGCTTTTTGGCGCTGTTTTCGTAAAGTAGTAGACTTTTCATCTTTTTCAGGCTAACGTCTATGACTTTCACATTAACTTATCAGATATATCCATAACTCTGGAACAAGTAGTACTACGGACTCAAATTTGCTGGCCAGAAGCCAAGTGGATCTGTTTGACGCGCAATTTTCAACGGAATCACTCAACGGATCCGCTCATGCTTTTGTATAGTGAGCTTTGATGCTGGTAGCGTGCGCTATGCAAAATTGGGCTCAGGACGTTGGCTGGAACACGCTCTACGAATTTCGTAACGGACAGACACACACAGAGACAAAAAGACGTAAACATCCTTAGCCGGTTATTATAAGTCAGCAGTGCGTCACCTCCGCTTCGCGGAGGTTCGCACTGGCTCCCTATCCGTATGCCTTTCTCATGTTCGCATGAGAATGGCTTTGAAACTCACCACGCGATGCTGAGCTTCACAAATGAATCGTAAACAACTGTTCATTCATGGAGCATCTCCATGTAAGATCGGTAATTTTGAGAAAAAAACTTTGTTGCAAGGAAACAAATGCGAATTTGAACGGATTACTGAATTTATTTTAGTTAGATAATCGTCATAAGGATAATAGTCACCTTGGGCTACATTTCAGTGCAAAAATCTTTTCGGTTTTTTCCAAAAAAACCTTGCCAAATCGAGTATCTACGCGTTCATCACTTTTTGGCGCTGTTTTCGCAAAAAAGCAAACTTTTTAAGGATTTTTTGGGCTAGAATTCATGGTGCGCAGAGTTACCTCTCAGGCAAACCATAACTTTGCAAAAAGTCGAATTAGCTACCCACTTTTGCGTGCCAAAAGGCGCGTGGGCCCGTTTGACACGCAAATTTTGAGAGACCCGCTTATCGAAACGGCTCGTCCTTGCGCATTTTGGGCCTGCACGCTGGCACGATATGTTATGCAAAATTGCAGCCCGATAGCTTAGCCGCAGCTTTCTCTATGAATTTCGTGACAGACAGATTTTCACACAGACACACACACACACACAGACACACACAGACACACACACACACACACACACACACACACACACACACACACACACACACACACACACACACACACACAAAACAGATGGCCTTAGCGCGTTATTATAGTAGGATTAGTAGATTGCGGTAGAAAAATTGAAAAAGATTTTAGGCTATATAGGCGTTCTTGCATAAGTTAAGCTATGTATATCGAAGTGTGTAAAAAGCTATAACAAATTCCATAAAAATCTTACATTAGTACACAGATCTCTGGATTTTTTGAAATGGTTGCTTATTCAGTACAGTGTTGTATGCTAGAAGTTCCTGCTGTGATCCTACAGTGTGGGAAAACAGCCTTACATGGATTTGCTTCATATTATAAATTCGGTATAAACTCCGGGACGGATACAAATCGTCGGGAACTCAAACATGATGGAAGGCAAAAAGAATATTTTATGGCGCAAAAGCAACTGTAAGATTTTACATAGTTATTTGGAATCCTCGACAGAATGGGCTGAAAGGCGCCCAGTACTTCAGCGTTCACCCGAAAACCTCCCGGTTGCCTGTCAAAAGCACGTAAAGGGTAGCTTCCGCGGCCTCTTTTTAACAAGAAGTTACATATCGTCCCCTACATACCATGGGTAGCCGAAGGTGACCAGGAAGCAGGGAACCCTGCAGGTCTTTCTCGAATTAGAAAAGTGTACTTGACGACTGCTTGTATGTACTTGAATAAACTCAGACAAGTTTGCACTTAGGCATAAACTCGAGCCAGATCAGAATTCAACTATGCAACCTGTGTGCAGATCGCCCACGACTTTGTCCAGGAAGTGTTCAGTAGCAAGGAAGGGAAGATTGCCGATCCACAGCGAAGTGGGGCAGCAAGAATTTGATTTTATCCAGAAAGCACAATACGAGTTATTGACAATTGTTCTTTAAAAAGTCGACTGCAATACCGCGGCAGATAGATGCCCCCTTTTTGATTTGTGACTTGTACGATCTTCTTCTTGGTCAACTACAAACGCTTTGCCTGTCGTTGACACAAACCATATAGTGCGGAAAACTACAAAGTTTCTTCTCTAATCAATGATAAAATGCTGCAAATGATACAAATGCTGCAACGAAAAGCAAGGATTCTCAAAGAAAGTGCTGATGTGAGATAACCTGATATAAGGTGAAATTACTGTGACACATATTTTTATTGTTTAAATACTCTTTTCCGGGTGGCGGACTTTATGAACGATAGCGCGCGCTTAGGCAGGCATGTGTCAATAAGGTGCGCGCCGTTAGCCCCGCCTATCGCTAGATGGACGAGTTTCCTGCACTACAGCTTGGGCACTGGTTCATGGCCATGTTCACTAGTCCACTAAAATCAGTCTTTGATATTAAGCCATAAGCTTGCTTCAAGCCGGGGAGAAGCTTATTATATACAGAATCGTTTGTTTCCTTGTTGATTTTTTGCCCATTTGTGAGATACTGATCTCTTGAATGCTTTGCTGATTCACCTCCGAATGATCGAGTGTCTTCGTAGCAAATTTGAAGTGTGAAATCAATCTAGAACACCTCAGGCATGATTGTCTGGGTGACCTCATATCTTTAACTGTTCACACGCAACTTCGAGCGAATCAGCAAGTGCACAATGCACAATTATTTTTTGTCAAAGCAGATTCCGTGGAGAATTTATAAGTGACTACGTTCTAAACTCTTATGAATTTCGAGTTATAATTATTTAGGTATGAGTAAAGTTTTAAACCTTAGTGTTCTGATAATAGAGATAATCGTGTTGGTCATTGTAGCAAATAATAATATTTCTCGATAAGCTGACGTCTTCCTGAACTGAACTTGAGAATGTACAATAAAGAATATTCGATATAGTAACAGATGTGAATAAAGAGAATTGAAACACTTTTCCAAGCATTTTTGGAACAATTTCCTCACGGTTGCTATGAAAAATCAATTTGGACAAACCTACTAGGAACAAAAAACTGAAACACATTAAAAAAGAGCTTGCGAACTAATTTATAATGAAAAATGATTCTGAAAGCTGGTTTTCAATTCGATTGAAATTTTGAATTCTATTCTATATATAAATTGCAGCTAACTGAAGGAGCATGAACGAGATATTAGAGTTTAACTAAGTTTTTTAAGATTTCTAACTAAGTGACTAAGATTCCTAACTAAGTGACAAGGAGGCGGAGCGTTCAGCGCATCGCGTACGGTACCCTGCAGGCGGCTGGCACATGCTATCGTTCATAAAGTCATACACCCCTCTTTTCCGGCAAGAGAACTGGACTTAAAGATGGTTTTTGGACTGTTCAGCTGATGGACGAAATAGCATAAAACATATAAGTTTGATATGAACAAAGTGACGATAGAATTTATTTATTTATTTGTGTAATTTATTTATTCATTACGCTCTAGGCGTACCATAACAAAGAAGGTTAGTGAAGTATATTTACAACTCAAACAAGAATAGAATAAATGATAGAATATTACTCAATTTTCTGAGAATTTTTGAGAATAATAGAATAAATATGTTCGCGAAATGCTAGAGAATTGATCGTATCGATTAGCCTGAGCTATTGAAATCTGACATTATGAGGCTCTTGAAAGCATTTGAAGAGGTACCTATGGCGCCAAAACAACTGAAATTTCATCAGCGATATAACGCAAATTTCTTTCACTATTCTATGAATTCACAATTGGGGTGAGACACGTGATTCAATAAAGGAGCAGCATTCATCATGAAAAGAGTAGGACATGAATCAGCATGCTCAAGAAAGGCTGCCGAAGGACATGCCATAGAGAAAGGCCTGCACCGCTATAAAGGGCGAACAACCGGTACCGCAGAGACCCCATGCTATGGTAGCACTACTTTTTCTTCTATTTCTGATAAGCTCACAGATTCAAAGTCAAAAGCTTACAACGGAGGAAAATAAACTCAACAGCAAAAAATGTGGCGTTCATTTCCTAGGTATGTAGCTGTACAGTTGTCTTCCGCACGAATGCCTTTATCTCCTCGAGTTTTGAATTCAGGACAGCCACTTCAGAAAAATCGTCTGGTCAAAAAGTCTTACGGAGGTCGTGAATTCGAAGAAAATGAGTATCCTTGGACTGTAGTTTTGGGACATGGTACGATACACATTGTGCTACTACAGTACTGTTATGTGGCAATCTTCGTTCAATTTCAGACCAGATGACGTGCAGTGGTGTTCAGATATCTCCTCGACACATTCTAACAGCTGCTCACTGTGTTTTGGTCTTCGATGAAATGAGCCCTGTGTTGTGCGTCATGAATATGTCGCACAGGTTGGCTGCTCCTTTCCTTTTTTTTTGAGAAATCCGAACATCGCTGTCCCTATGTACTGCCAATTAGCCGCTGATGTCAAATTTTACCTTCAGCATTGTCTCCGTGTTAGTTACGCCAGAAAAGGTATCAGTCTTCATAGGTGGCGGTAGAGACCACTGCAGCAATCTTATTTGCCAGAATAAGACTTTGTATAGAGCAAAAAAGGCAAGCATATCTTGTTGATCACCTTTCGTGGTCCACTTTCCAAGTTTTCAGATCATAACAAAGGAATTGGACATATGTAATAATTACAATAATGATTTGGCTCTCATTGAACTCGAACGAGATATCTCGGAAAGCGACTCGACACCAATATGCATGCCCGAAGATGACTTGCCACTAAACCCTGTTCTGTACGCAAGCGGCCTCGGAGTCGACCGTGAGTGAGAAAGCAAACCCTCTAATGAAACAGAATTCAGAAGGTGAAGGCGATGTTTGCAAGGGGAGCCATTGTTTGAACCGCTCGCCATAGCGCTGCGCCTCTGATTGGTCAGCTCTCAGCCGCCAATGGCGGGTGTGGCTGCGCCTAAAAACGAGCGAACTGTACATGCAAGCGTGCTCGTTCACTTTTTTATGTCCAAAACGATACACCTTGTTGATCATAGTTGGTGAAGTTTCTGTAAATCTTTCTCTCCTTCAATTTTAGCTTCAACTTATCACTTTTGACAATCCGAAAGGCCTTCACTCACACTCTTTGGCACTTGAACTCAGCCAAAATATCTCAGAATATGACTCGACACCGATTTGTATGCCCGATGATTATACGGAACTACCTGTCCTATATGCAAGCGGCTTTGGATTAGATCGTGGGCAAATAGCTAATCTTCAGGAAATCATAATTTGAATGATGAAGGCGTTATACGTGCCAGCTGCAGATTTAGCAGCTCACATAATTTCGAAAAATATATGAAACATGTTCACATACGGAATCCAACGCTATTTCAATTTTAGCTTCGAGCCCTATCACTTTTGACAACCCGAAAGGTGAACATGCACATGGACAGCAAGTAGTGGCGCTTCGTTATGATGCGATTGATCAGTCACTTCATCAGATTCGAACCAAGACTTTCGGAAAAGGAATATTTCCAGTGATTTTGTCCCGGTCCTTTACCCCCTGCTGAAATCTGATGATCTGGACAAATTCAGGGCGATAGTGGAGGTCCGCTGTTCCAAGTGAATGAAGAAGGTCGTCACATCCTTGTGGGAATCAATAGTTATTTGGATCCAAGTTTCGCTGAGCCTAATGAAAGTAAGCGTGTCAGAAGTGCGAACAATTTATTAAATGGTTCTTACAGATATGATAAACTATTTCACTGCCGTGCAAGACTATTTGGATTGGATCTGCAAATATTCAGGTGCACGAGCACTGCCAATCCCCACAAATTTGTTTTCGCTGATTTAGGTGTGTGCCCAGTGGAACAGAACGTGGATTACCAAAAAAGCTAAAATCCACAGTTTATGAATCTTTGATATGAAAACACCGCTAGGTGGAAAATGTATTGCCAGCATACTATTCTTAGAATGATTAAATGCTCTTAGGAGTTCCCACTCAACAAACGCAATAGACGAGCGTTCTTTTGTAGAAAAGTCTAACACGCTATTCCATTTACATAGTATTATAAATTCACTGATTATATACGATACCATGAAATCAACTCAAAATTAGCCCATCGGCTGTGAACCACTTGTTTTCTTGTTGGATTTAAGTGACTTCGGTGAAGGTTTGTGCAAAAGTAATGCGTCTTTATTTTACTACAGCAGTTTGAACACAAAAAAATGCTGAGGTGTTATTCGATGTAGCAAAGAATGCCCTACATGATTACCACCACATACCGCGTAAAACTCAATCTGCATAAAGTTTGAAGCCAGAATTTGAAAACAGTGAGTGCCTCAAAAATTGCAGTTCAGTCCGAAAATATGATCCTCCTATCTAGTCGGCATGTAGTAATACAAGCATTCATTATTTGCGCTGCACTTTTTTCCCAGCTGTGAACTGGGAAACAAATTCTGGCCAAAAATTCGCAAACACAGTCGCGAGCTAGTTTCAAATGTGTATTGTACTTGTATTCTACAAACTTTCATGGAAAATTCAAGAAAATATTCATTCATATCTTTATCAGAAATATATCGGGTTGGCTGATAAATTCTGTTACACCTTTTTTTGTAAAATTCTGAAAAATTCCGGAAGTTCTCTAGAATCTACAAATTTGCTCCATATTAGGATACGACGGGGCTACATAACATTGAGACTGATGCCGCAAATTCACAAATAGCTAGCAAGTTTATGACAACTTTGTAAACACACCCAGAATTGTCATATTTTCTCTAATTTTTCTCTCTGCGTGTAATTGTGTTTTTTCGCTCCTATAATTTTTTTAGAAGATACTCGCACTGTTCCATTTATGGCAGCTCTTCGGTGCTGCTGGCATGTCAAAAACGAGGGGTGAAAAATAAATCAAAAAATTGAAAATTCGTCGAAAAAATTTTGTGTGCATCATGTAGGAGTGATACGGAGAGGTTGCAAATATAATTTGTAGAGTTTTGAAAATTGTTCTTCACAATTCAACATGGCGCACCATCAGCTTCGATGAACCTGTGCGGACATGAACTGTGCCTCCCCCCACAGTCGCTAAAAACTATGGACCATACCTTGCCAAGTTACCACATCGCCCTCTCCCCTGATCACCTGAAGGATTGTCAGCCTGTCGAAAAAAATACCTATAAAACTTACTCCCACTGATAAAGTGGATGTTTTCCCGGACTACGGATCTTACAAACCGGACACCTTGGTACCTCGTCAACATTCCTTGATCAAGAATTTTCGAGAGTTTCACACAGTTACAAGAAATAAGAATAAAAGTGAAAATTATCCGCCAACCTAATATTATGTTTTAGACAAAGAAGAAAACCAAAAAAGGCGACTTTTCCGTCTAACCCATTAATGTTTCTTGACTTCTAGCTTCAGAAAGATTCCAAAAACTGCATTCACGTAGTTTACTATGTAGCTAGTGTATGATGACCGATCTTGAAGTGATACAGTGCAGTTGCGATGCTGCTGGAATGGCCCGCTCGCTCAGTCCGGTTTCGGGCTAATGTGGGTTGAAATATGGCTGTATTACGCGACTGACAGGCCGCAATGTGGCCTCTCCTAATCGCCAAAATTCAAATCTAATGCAGGATTTAATAACTAGATTTTTATACTGCATAGGCAAATACATATTAGGTCGTTCCGAAAGTTCTTTCCGTTTTTTCAACCTATCATAGAAACACGTGGAATGAAGGTAGGGAAACGCTTCAGGCAACATCCGACGAAACTTTTCTTCCCCTTTTACACTGTTATGTTCGTTTGCCGTTTGCTATTGTGGTCAGTGAGATAATGGCCGAAATTTCGGACCTATGGTTTTTACCATGTCCAACTTTGGCAATTTTTCACTATCTTCTTTCTCAACTTTTGGAGAAGCTTTGATAGCAGTCAGATAGAGTGAACAAAGTGCAATGCAATGCAATTTTTTGGCGATTTCAGCCGGCTTCTCATTATTTTTTTAGATAACTTTTTCAAAAGTCTTCACTTTTTCGAACTCACAAAACACACAAACGCTCTGAACATCAACAAATCTTGGGTTTTCGAAACTTTCAAAAGTCGTTTATGATTGTACACTATTTTTACAAAGTAACTGAGCGTTTACCGCTTCGAAATATAAGATTTTGCATTGCACGGATACATCATGAGGCGGGTTCAAAATCAAGATTTATAAAAATTTTATCGCCAAAGACCCCACAAAATAATAAGAAAAAGTACTCATCAGAAAGAGGAGAAAAAGCTGCATAGAATGACACCTTAGTTGTGCGCCGTTTTATGTTCTGTGGCTTTTGGCATCCCCAAAAGTGGAATTTGATAGCATCAGAAAAATAATTCTAAAAATGTTTTGAGGCTAGCTATAGATGCCAAAAAATCGCATAAAATTGCATTTTGTTTACTTTATCCGACTGCTATCAAAGCTTTTCCAAAAGTCAAAAAAGAAGATAGCGAAAAATTGCCAAAGTTGGACATGGTAAAAACCATGGGTTCGAAATATCGGCCATTATCTCACTGATCATAAGAGCAAGCCGCACAGGACTATGACAGTTGAAAAGAGGAAGAAAAGCTGCGTCGGATAGTGCCTGAAGCGTTTCCCTACCTTCATTCCTCGTGTTTTTATGACAGGTTGAAAAAACGGAAAGAACTTTCGGAACGACCTAATATTATGCAGCACTACTTGAGATAATATTGGATACAAAAATTCTGGTTACTTACAATACCTTTTAGTAATTTAGAGAAACCTTCCAAGATCACCATAAGGTCGGAGTATGTATTTCTGGGGTGTATGTCAAGAGGCGCGATTTTTATTGCCAGCTGGACATCAAATAGCACATAATAAGTGTCTTAAAATCTTCTAAAAGCATATGAATTCTAGAAAAAGATATATTAGATAGTTGCATGGTTATTCAATTTTAATACTTTGGAAAAATTTCAAAACAGCAGTTTTGAAGGTCAAAAACGCATGAAAATGCATTTCAGAACGATTTCGTAAATATCCGAGTTCGTTTTACAGCAAAACCCATGAAACTTAGCCAGTGGTAACATCAAACAGATAGTAAGCTTATACACTTTATTTGGTACTTTTTGGAACTCGCATAGCACTGAACTGGAGTTTTGAATTGGTGACAGCCGGAGAAATCGCGCCTCTTGACTGTCTCCCGTATTTCTGTGGGTTCACATAATTTTTGCAAGTTATACTGTGCACTCCTGGCTTCATCAACAATCTGTATTTGTGAAAAGACCGTTTAAAACATTTATCTTTATTCAGCAATAAATCCAGCTTTGATAGATTTCGCGCCCTAGTGCAATAGCGGTAAGGCACCCACTTCTTTTGCGCCACCATTCGAGTATCTTAATTTTCATTTCATTGAGCTATCGCGTTGCCTTTCAGTCTGCACTTTTCCATGCTGCTCCAGACCTCTTATAATAATTTTAGGTCGTGTCATTTGCTATTGCATGTCTATTACTCTAATCAAACAAAGGTTAAATATAACGTATTAAATGAGAAAACAAGAGTACATTTTTTAGACTAATGACTTCTCAAAGTTTCCACAAGTAAATTGGGACCTCATCTGAAAAGGCAAGAGAATTGTACCGCCGTGACGGAGGACGGAAAGAGGCGCAAAAGTATGGTCGTTCCATCCCTCATTGGTCTTCAGGATGCCCTCCAAGGCTTGAAAAGTTAAAAAAAGTGCTTCTTATGGCGCTATTTCAAGGATGCTGGAGGGGCTGGACGAGCAATTCCCGTGAAGTGAGTCGCGATCGGCTGCCTGAGCCTATCAGCCAATGGCCGTCAAAATGAGTTAAGTCATAGTCTCCTGTAACCATTCGCTGTTTTTAGCGAAAATCTCTCCTACAGCCGCTCCAGCAATCTTTGAGGCCGGAAAGCGCCAAAGGCACTTTTTTTGACTTTTCAAGCACAGTCCCGGACTCAGCGGATCCAGAAGGGATCTTCAAGCACAGAAGCTCCTTTGCTCTAAGGGTAGTGACAGGGATATTCCGAACTTTGAAATTTTTGTATAGTGCCTAAATCTAAGCTTGGAGAATTTACAGTTGTTCCATCACTTGGGCAACTTTCCGGGACCTCTTCTTGTCAGGACAGTGCATCCTTTCACTTGAAAAAATCACTACATCTTACAATATTAACACATTCACGACAGGGCCGATTTTTCGATTACTGCCGTTTCAGACCAGAGCCTTTTTTGCTTTGTCAAAGTTACGACCACCCGTGGTATATTGTCCGAAATGGTAGTCTTTTTGGAAGAAATTCAAAACATGTCTCCGAGATTTTCCCCACAAGGTTTATCGAAGGCGCTGATTACCAAAATATGGTTTATTTCAGTTTTTTCGGTATACGGTAAAGTTACGGTAGTCATTCTTTACAGACGCAACATCATGGATTTCCATGAAAAATTGTGTTTTGGGGTTTTTTCACGTACTGATCACGATTATAGTGTCTACTTTGTTCACTACTTTCTCGCAGTGGGACCATTGTAGCAGTGCGGTAGAATTTTCGTAAGTTCAATAAACTGATGCAAGAAGGCGGTGTTAGAACTTGAGACTATCATTTTCGTAATCAGCATGCTAAAAAACCTATATATGTAAGGTTTGACCTTCCTGGACGAACAATGCAAAAAATCAATAAAATCACTAAAATTGAAAATTTTTGATAGGCTGACATCAGTCTCGTACCCTCCCTATGTTCCTAGTGCACGTAAATTTGAAGCAAAAAAGCACCACTCTGCGAATAATTTGAGCTAAAGCCTGTGCCTTACCTCTATCTACGGTATACCTACTGTAACATTACATTGCAGTATTTCGAATCCGGACCACTCTGGATGGAGCTTCGCCAAGGTGTTTCCAGTCATGTGCCAGAACCCCGTAGAGTTCCATCGCATGCAAATCTAAAGCTTCAGGAATCTTACGACCCACAGGTGGGTCGTATTGTCGTGAATGTGTTAAAGGGCGTAGGCAGATACGAAAATACAGTGCTGGACATAATTATACAGCCACTCTAAAAATCGTCGTAATTTTTGTTCTTGTCAATGAATCTGTCTGAAACTTTGCTGTATTGTGCGCATATCAACCTACCATAACCCCTCAAAACGGCTTCCAGTCTTGTTGAGTTTGAACGGAGAAAAACGAAAAAAATCGAAAAAGCCCTCTTTGAAAGCTGGACAAAATTATACAGCCACCTGGTTTTTCTAATCACTATCGCATTCGTTGACTCTCAAATTTTTTTGCACAATTACATCCCAAAATATGAAACATTTGCGACACTTACGGCCTGTCTTCCTACTCAAATAGAAGCAATCGCTGCATTTCTTGCTTTTGAAAGCATTAAAAGTCAATCTCCTTGCTGCTTTAAAGAGTTTTCAAGCTCTTGTTTATTCCAAATGATAATCATGGAATCTACTGACCCTTCTGGATAGATGAGGTGAAGAGCGCTTTCGTAAACTCTGCGTAATCGCTGATTTTGAGACAGACTTCAAGACCGGACAGACTTCAACCTCAACATAGGCTTGGAAAGCTTTTAAACCACAAAACTCAGTTTGCAATGTCCACAAAGTGCTGAACTTGATTTATCACATTGTCTACATGGGGATACAGCTTTCGCAACAACTTTCAGATTTTTCCTAATGATGCGGTAGCGATTTAGACCTGGAATACTTTCCACGAAAATTCCCTGCAAGCAGAAGATTCGATATAACCCTAGATCTCCTTATTTCAACCTGTGTTTCATATCATATTTCACCCGATGAATGAGATTAGCCAAGATTTTGAAGTTTTAAGCGTCTCCGGTTTTATCTCGTGATCTGAGTTGGCTTTGATTGTACGGGGTGCTCCACTCAACATTCAGTGAATGTCAACTGCGGCTGAATCAGAGTGCTCAGTCCCGAAATTTCTTCCCAGTCATGCACACGAGTTCACTGTTGTATGGCTGTCGTAATGGCTACATTATAGTATTTTCTGTCGCTTGAAAATCGAGTTTCGTGGTGCAAAAGTGCGTCAACCCTATGGTGAGGTTGGAGTCTGTTCGTCAAAATCAGCGATTACGCAGAGTTTACGAAAGCGCTCTTCACCTCATCTATCCAGAAGAATCAGTAGATTCCATGATTATCATTTGGAATGAACAAGAGCTTGAAAACTCTTTAAAGCAGTTGTTTGTTGAAGGAGATTGACTTTTAATGCTTTTAAAAGCAATAAATGCAGCGATTGCTTCTATTTGAGTAGGAAGACAGGCCGTAAGTGTCGCAAATGTTTCATATTTTGGGATATAATTGTACAAAAAGATTTGAGAGTCAACGAATGCGATAGTGATTAGAAAAACCAGGTGGCTGTATAATTTTGTCCAGTTTTCAAAGAGGGCTTTTTGGATTTTTTTCGTTTTTCTCCGTTCAAACTCAACAAGACTGGAAGCCGTTTTGAGGGGTTATGGTAGGTTGACATGCGCACAATACAGCAAAGTTTCAGACAGATTCATTGACAAGAACAAAAATTACGACGATTAGAGTGGCTGTATAATTATGTCCAGCACTGTAGTAGAGGGGCCCGTCCTGGTAAGGCTCTTGCCCAACTGGCAATGCACCAATTTGCTTCTGAAGCGAGAACCCACTCCAGAAATGGCGACCAGAACGCCCCGGCGACCGTGAACGAGTTAGTTCGATAAGCCAGAGTGCGCATACCGCATACAGTCAAGATGTAGGGTCCCACGATGAGCCCCTCTTAACCTTAGCGGCAGGCGACAAAATTCAAACCAAGAGCTTCTGGAAAAGCCCATTTTCGGCGTTTTCGTGCCCTCCAAGCTGCATTTTCGGAATCAGTGGGAGGAATAAGCCCATATAAGCGAAAAAAATTCCATTCGAAATTTTTCCCGGATGCTGCCTTTAAGGTGGAGGTTTTTAGTTGCCTGTATAATTTCCATTCTAGGGCTAAAGGAAAAGATATCAGAGCGCCAAGTCATGGGGCAGATATTAGTGACTGAGGGAAAGGATAAAATCTTAACTCCAGTTTAAGGCTGGATCTAAGAACTTGAACATAGCAGCAAAATTGGACTTGAGATTGACCCTGATTTGAAAAAAAAGGACAGCGGATCGATTTTTTAGCAGCTCTCTAAAATTATAACGCTAAATTTCCCTTTTGAATGTATGTGGCATGGAGTTGAGCTCATAGTGAAGTATAATATATGACTATATTATTTTCCATGCGGCTACTCTGAGCATCTTACATTTCAAAGAGATTTTGGGAAGTGGTTTGGTGGCATGGGTTGTGGCATGGTTTTATTGTTCAGATGCTTTTTCGTGCTGAAGTCTAAAAGTAGACTTTAAAAGTCTTTTCTGAACTGTACAGCTAGTGGACGAACGTGTAAACAGGGTTAAGCAAGGGGTGTGGCACACGATCGCTGGTTACGAGCCCCCCCCCCCCTGATTGCTGTCTTAATGGGACCCCCCCCCCTGAACTATACACTTAAGATAGCATTACTTGAAGGGCCTGTCAAACCTAATGGGCAACATATCCATAATTAGCATGTCAAATAACCCCTGTAGACAAAGTGTGAGCGAATTCTGAAGATTCAAGATACTAGGCTACCTAAGTGAAATGGTCATTTTCCAACATGATTAACTCTTTCAAACGTGAATTAGCTATCTTTTTTTTGCACTCAAGACAAAGCACTACTCCTTCTTTGTCCACCTCAGAAGTACCGCTTCGCTTCACCTCCAAACTGTGTAATTAGAAGCCAACCAAAATCTCAATTTTCCCATTTTTCGCTTTTGATGGCTGTGCTTTCACCAACTATTACTCAGAGCAAAGAAAACGAATCAGGCTCCAAACAGTCCTATAAAATCTACAAGGTTTAGGCTATCGATTCATATAAATAATGTCCGCTAAAATTGTTTTTTTGATATAGTTAATGGGGTGCGGCACACCCCCTTAAAAGCTGCGGCGGCCGCAGCTTTTAAGGGGGTGTGCCGCACCCCATTAACTACATCAAAAAAACATTTTTAGCAAACCATATTTTTATGAATCGATAGCCTAGGTCTCCTAGTTTTCACACGAGTGATTTGAGCCTGATTCGTTTTCTTCGCTCTGAGTAATAGTTGGTGAAAACACAACCATCAAAAGCGAAAAATGGGAAAAACGAGATTTTGGTTGGCTTCTAATTCCACAGTTTGGAGGTCTTCTGTAGCGGGATTCCTGAAATGGACAAAAAAGGAGTAGTGCTTTGTCTTGAGTGCAAAAACGTATAGCTAATTCACCTTTGAAACAAAGTTGACCATGTTGGAATATGAACATTTCACCTAGGTAGCCTAGTATCTTGAATCTTTAGAATTCGCTCAACCTTTGTTTACAGGGGTTATTTGACATGCTAATTATGGATATGATACAAATATCATGTTATCACTATTATCAGATTACCCAACTACGACCCTCTCCCCTTTTGACTCCTCAATACGACCCCCCAGGTGTGGCGTGCCGCACCCCACGCTTGACCCTGGTGATAAAACATACACAGTGCTAATATGAATGGATAAAACAAGTCGCAAAATTCTGATTGATCATATCGATTAGCTCAACGCGAAGTTCGATGGGCTCAGCCTTTCGAAAAGATAGCTAAGGTTGCAAAACAATACGGGTTTCACCAGCTGTATAATGTATACTTTCTTCGTTAAATTCTTTCACTTCAGTAGTGGAGTGAGACACAAGTTTCAATAAAAAAAACGGCATTCATCAAGAAAAAAGTACAATGTGAGTCAGGCCTTTACAAAGAAGGTTGCCAAGCATTGTGTCGTGGAAAAACGCCTGCACCTCTAAATAAAGGGCAAGCACTGATTTCACACAGACCTCATGATCATGGTGGCACCATTTCTTCTTCTGTTCCTTATTAGCTCACAGATTCAAAGTCAAATTTACAACGGAGGAAAATGAGCTCAACAACAAAAACTGCGGCGTTCATTTCCTAGGTATGAACACTTTACTTTGTTCTCTGACTTGTACGCCCCTGCTATTTTGAATAATTTCAGGACAGCCACTTCAGAAAAATCGTCTGGTCAAAAAGTCTTACGGAGGCCGAGAGTTTGAAGAAAATGAGTATCCTTGGACTGTAGTGTTGGCACATGGTACTATACGTATCGTGCTGTTACAGTACTGTTATGTGGCAATCTTCGTTCATTTTCAGAAGAGGCGGCCTGCAGTGGTGTTCAGATATCTCGACGACATATTCTAACAGCTGCTCACTGTGTCTTGCACTTCGACGATGAAAAGAGCCACGAGTTGTGCGCCATTAACCAGTCACAGAGGTTGGCAGTAATCTCATTTTTGCGGAAAGTAGCTTATAACGCGATAACTACTGTAATATATTGCCTATGAAAATTTAGCATTGTTTCTGCCCTAGCGGATCCAGAAGAGATGTCTGTTCTCATAGGCGGAGGAAAAATGTATTGCTACACTAATCCTTGCCAACACAATAAAACTCTGTATAAAGCGAAAAAGGCAGATTTTTATCTTGGATAATTCTGTCTAAACCAATTCATATGCTTTAGATCATATCAAAGGAATTGAACATGTGTGAGAAAAATGATGATTTGGCCCTCATCGAACTCACCCAAAATATCTCGGAAAGAGACTCGACACCGATTTGCATGCCCGAAGTTGACTTGCAGCTGAATCCTGTCCTATACGCAAGCGGCATCGGATTGGATCGTGAGCCAAAGAGCAAAACTACATTTTAACAAGACTTAATCTATATAGTGAATGTGTTGTAGGTGTCACCTTCAAATTTAGCAGCTTACATTCTTATTTTCATGCTGAATGTTGAGATTCAGCTTCAAGCCCTATCACTTTTGATAATCCGAATGGCGATCAAGCGCATGGACAGCAAGTAGTAGCACTCCGCTATTACGCAGTCGATCAGTTACTGCAACAAATTCAAACGAAGACCTTTGCGAAAGCAATATGTCAAGTTACAATCTATTTCAATCCATTACTTTTCTGCTTGACTGCTGAGCTGGAGAAATTTAGGGAGATAGTGGAGGTCCACTGTTTCAAATTGACGAAGATGGACGCCACATCCTTGTGGGAATCACTAGCCACATGCTTAGAAAATGCACTCATCACAATGAAAGTACGCCCATCACGGTCTGGACAATGCAATTCTCAATTCTTGCAGATATGATAAATGTTTTTACTGACGTTCGTGCGAATCTGGATTGGATCTGCAAATACTCAGGTCACAAAAAGATGACGTATCCATTTTGAATTTTTTGTTGTGTTTCAGGTGTGTGCCCAGTAGAAGAAGAATTTCGGTGAACAGAAGGTGCAACACCACCGTATGCTAGTCTATAGCATATTTGATTAGAGAAATTTTTATGGCTAGACGGTCATGAAAATCCACCACAGTCAAAACTCATCAGTGTGAGATACCTTAACATGTTCTATAAATAGTTTATGTATTTTTGTAACAGGTTATAGTGCAGCACTCTTGCAAAGTAGACTCATTAGATATGTACGATGATAACTTGCCGTTGGTAGACACAGCTGGAGTGTGACTGTACTAATGTGATCGACTATAATGGAGTCTGATGTATTTTTTCATTTTTTGGCGCCTTATTTCTTAAAACTCCATACTGCAAACGCAGTGGCGATCTCAGATTTCCATTTGGAGGGGGAGGGTAGGACAAAAAAAATTTTTTTTGAATAAAGGTGCGTGGAGTGAGCCACGCACTCCGAGAAAGCTTTTGGGATGCCAAGATTTCTCCGGGCCCCCGACCCCAAGGTTTCAAAAAAAGGTGGCTGGCAGTGGCCACGCCCATAAAGGCTTTTTACAAGGCTAATAAAGATTTTGAAAATTTTCAAAACTATTTTAATTATTCACAAGTATAAACAAGTCACTTGCTTTTTATAACCATGTAAGTAACTTTCACACATTCCACGACCCATCGGGGATCCCTCTATCATGCAGATAGTGTTAAGCATTTTTTACTTCAGCTTATTTTTTACCAGGTGACAAAGAATTGTTAAAAATAAAGTCGAGTCGATAAAAAAAATGGTGACAAAATCTGCTATGATGACACCCCAGAAAGGTTGAAAGAGGATGGACTTCCATTTTCTATATCAAATATAATTTGTCCCACATTTCAGTTTAGTGTAATCAAAGTGATACTACAGTTTTTTTTATTGCTAAATTCAGACTACTTCACTCGAGAGCAATAAGGCCTTTCCTAAATTACTCTGCAGAATTAAGAGAATCATTTAGGCAGAGAGCCTTCCATGCATGTTGAAGAGCGCTTTAGCATTCCAAATTCCAGCTCTCAGACCTGACAAAGATTTTACGCAACCTATACAGTCTATTAGGTTGGTGCAAAAGTTCTTTCCCACCAAATTCAAAAATTCATCTTCTTGAATTCTCAACGAATTCACAAGATCTTAATTTTGTATAAGAGAGGAACTCATGCTCTTTGCAAGGGTACTTGAAATGTTCTCTATCGAGAACAGCTAAAGGAGATTGAAGCTGAAAACCAAAATCACTCGAAAGTTGAATTTTTCGTGTAGGGTCATAAAAAATCGGAACCTTGCAACAAAAATCGGAGCAGTCAGTATTGTATGTTATTTCACCAGCTCTTTCTAACCGTGCAAAGTTTGCGCTGATTGAGCTCCTCTATGAAAAGTTATGATTTTCGAGCAAGCAATACAAAAGGGCGAATTTGATTTATTTTGGCATTTTTCAGGGAATTCATAACTTTCCACAGAGACGCTCAATTGGCGCAAACTTTGCACTGTTGGAAAGGCTTTGTGAAAGAGCCTACAATACTGACTGCTCCGATTTTTGTTGCAAGTTTTCCGATTTTTTATGACCCTACACGAAAAATTCAAATTTTGGGTGATTTTGATTTTCAGCTTCAAACTCCTTTATCTGTTTTCGATAGCAAACCTTTCATGAACCCATGCAAAGAGCATGAGTTCCTCTCTTATACAAAATTTAGATCTTGTAAATTCGTTGAGAATTCAAGAAGTTATGAATTTTTGAATTTAGTGGGAAGGAACTTTTGCACCAACCTAATATTAGATTTTACGGTAAATATGGTCCTATGGTGCGCGAAAAAAAAATTTTGTTTATTAACTCCGATCTATATGTGGAACTTTCCATGGATAGCAAATAAGAGGGACGGGAGCACTAGTTGCTTTAAGATGTTAAAAACCGATTTTCTTTTGAAACTACATCAAGTAGAGATCGTTATTACAACAACAATGTTCATTTGTGGCACTAATAAATAAACCCAGTATGATTGAATAAACACTTGCCTTGGGAAATTTTTCTTCGAGTCAGACTGGTTAGTTTTCCAATAATGTACAGTTTGTTGACCTACAAGGGGTCCGAACCATACATATTTCTTCACAGTAACCGCCCATCCCTGGTTTTCAATATTTAGCGGTAGCATTCTCTTTCGCATTTCTTTCTTTCGATATGGCCTCAACCATCGCTGTAGAAAAAGTTCGTGATTAGCCAAGTTACCACTAAAGACACTGTGATATTTAGTGGTTGAAATTGACGAGTTCTTCCGTTGGCATTATTATATAAATGAAATGCATAAATCAAAATTCGGCCCTTGAACTCTCCTCTTACAAGGGAAGTCACTTAACTTAGTCGGGCTTTTAAAATGAGACACATTTATTTAGAATCAGCTCGGAACGCTGATTCCAAATATGCTAAACTTAGCTGCGAAGCGTTTCTCTGAAGCGAGTTATGAGCTTTTTTTATTATGTGTCATTGTCATACAACTGAATATGGAAAGAAAGTCTTTGGATGAAAATCTGCCCAAAAAGTGGTGGAAAATCAAAATCACATCAAATTGAGTCATCTAGCTTTGATAGGGTATAACATGCATTTGAACCATTACATAGATGATGATACCGTAGCATGTCTAAATCGGTCAACACGCAAAATTTGCTCAGGAAAAAGCTCATAACTCGCTTCGGAGGAACGCTTCGCAGCTAAAGAAAGCACATTTGAAATCAGCGTTTCAAGCTGATTCCAATCATATGTGTCTCATTTCAAAAGCCCGACCTAAGTTAAGTGACTTCCCTTGTTAGATACTGATAGGAATTACACCTTCGTGTTGATCTCTCCAAGCAAAGCTACTATCTGTAACGTTGTAATACCAGTTAGACGACAATGCAAAACAAAATGGTGAAAAATGTGCGGAAAGAATTTGTATTAAGCTCAAATTAGCTTTCATCCTTTCAACGTGACTTAAAGGTCACTTTTCCACAAAGTGAGGCTCACAATGGCTCATCAGGAGCACGATGTGCAACGTAAATAAAAACTGGCAAGGTTTTTCGCATTGTCAACTCTCATTTTGAAAATTAGGCTTAATATTGAAAAACTTGAAGAAGTATTGCGAAAATAGAAAATGAGAGAGGCGAGCAGAAAGCTACGCGTATAATATATCTTATAGAAGTACAGGACATTCATGAATGAATTTGTAATCATTGAAACCCATAACACTGAACCACTACTCTAGAAAATACAAAAAGAGAAATGATATGCAGGAGACGTTTACAAATTTTATTGCTTTTCACAAAGAAATATGTCAGAATCAAAAATATGTTCTGTGCTTTACTACCGAAATATTAGGTTGGCACATAAGTAATGCAACTTTTTATATAACTTTTGCCTTTTTGGACGTAGCGCCTTCATTTTCTGATAATGTAAGGATTATGATGTAAACTGCAAATGCAGACATTTTTGCCGAATTTTGCCATCTTACGTAAGTGTTACGGTAGGTTCATGGTACAATGGAAAATTTATTAAATTGCATCAGATTCTGCTGAAACTTGGCGGGAGGGTTATTCGACATGCTGATCACAAAAATACGACCCGTTTTACATGAAAAGGTCTCTTTCGTAAGATCCAAAAATGGATGTTATCTTAGCGACAAATGTCTATGATATTCGTGTTTACCGTAATGGATTGCTCTATTATGCAAAATTTTTGCGAATTACGAGGTTCCGCGGCTTAGTTATTAACAGATTGCCTTCAAAACTTGACGCATTTGACTTGCCCTACTTCTCATAGGCGCCTTATATTCGCTGGTATTTCAATTTTACTTCTTTTTTACTGATTCAAATTTGTCAACTTTTAGCTACATGCTATCTATGACTCCTTTTTGATGTGTTTGATTCAGGTTTTGTACGGCTTCACGTTTGCCAAAAAAACCGTGAAATCTCGATTTTCAACAGTTTTCGAAAAAGTTGAAATTTTTTCAACTACTTTATCAGTAATTGAACCGTTTGCACAGACTTGCAGCACACGTCACATTATACATGATACCAGAGCCCTCCCCCCCCTCGAGAACGGGTCGCGAAATTTTTGAAATTTACTTACATAGGTTATAAAAATGTGCAATTGACCTGTTTATTTTTGTAAATAATTGAAATAACTTTCAAAATTCCTTAAAAATTTGAATTAGCCTCGTAAAAAATATTTCTTCGGGGCGTGGCCTCACCACGCCCCCTTTTTCCAGATTTTAGGGCTTACGGAAAGTTATGGGAAAAGTTGCAAAACTTTTGTGCCAATCTAATGTACGGATTAACGATACCTAGGTCATTTTTCCACCAAAGAATAGGCAGTAGAAAAGTTTTTGCACATAAACATTCATTTTAAATCCTCATTCTTTCTTCAGTAGTACATCAGTAAACTTTAAAAAAATGTCAACAAAGTTTGCATTGAGTGTGGTGATTGAGAGCTTTCAGGGGATTACATACATTTCGGTTTCAACATCCTATCCCCATCATCACGAGAATGATTTTTGTTTGTGTATATTGGAAACTAGTATAACTGGATTCCAACTGTAGGTTCAAATTGCTGCTTTCTATCCCTGTGCATTAGAATACATAGCCATTATTGCAAAACCACACTAGTTATGTATTTTTAACTGTACAGAGAATCGCCGTAGGTACTGAAGTATGCACTGATCTGAGACCTTCCGCACACTGCTCGCTGAATTTGGAAAAGTCATTCATGATTTTACTAAGGCAAATTGTTTCTGTCGCTTTCCGAATCTTACGGTGCCGCTTTTAGGAGAAAACAAATGAGCAAGCAAAGTGCAGAAACTCGTAGACGCCTTGGGAATCAGTGAGAGTATTCGAGAAGCCGGTCTGTTGCTTTTGGTGACTGTCGATCTCTTGCAATAGTCTGAAGAGGGAAATAGCTAGAAAATGGATCATAAGCCTACTTTATGCTCACCACTTTTTTGGTTTCCCAACTTTTTCACTGCGTTCTTGCAACTGATTTTCCTTGAAGAAAGACTTCAGGCTCGGACAGGAGCTCATCGATATCAGAGCAACGACCGTATTACGAAGATGCTGCAAGAATACCATTGGTTGAGTAACAACTGTGGTTTCGACAGACATAAAATTCTTTCGCTTTATTCTTACAACTTGCAAGTGGCGTTGGGCAGCTCCCTGGATCAAAACGCAATCATCAAGAGAAGAATAAAATGTGAATCAGGCATGCACAACAAAGGCTTTGAAAGAACATTCTGGCCATGCAAAACGCCTGTCCTTTTAAATAGACGTCTGGCACCGGATCGGCAGACAAACTTTAAGGTTATGCTAGCATTATTTCTTCTTCTGTTCCTTATATGCCCACATCTTCAATGTCGGAGACTTACAACGGAGGAGAATGAGCTCAACAGCATTAAATGCGGCGTTCATTTCCTAGGTATTTATTTACAATACCGCTCACATTTTTGAAAAATAGACGCGAATGAATGGATGTAGCGACATGTATGGGCATGTCGCTACACGTATGGACATCACCATCGCGTGGCTATATCTCGCTTCAGAGTGGGCGAAATCTGAATCTAAAACCACCATTCCATTCAGCTCAGCGCGGAGAATCTCCAGAAATATTGGAAGTGGAGGTACGATAGGCATACGGTAGAGAGTCACTTTACACTGATACGCCTGAAACTCTGCATAGAGGGCTTATTCGATGTGCTCACTACAAAAATAATATTTATTTGCTGCAGTGGTGGTACACTGTAGAGTTACGGTAAGTGTACGGTGAGAGTCGATTTACACATGTATATGTTCGAAAATTTGCTCAGTGGGGCGATCAGATGCGCTGATTATAACAAATTGACCCATTCGGCAATTGAGGCGAGTGCGGTAGGTGTATGGCAGTCTGCCAGTTTCAAAGAATCTTTTCAAATTTCTGCCTGGGTTGGGTTGCACAGTGCGCTGATTACATGCATTTGCATGTTCGTGACTATTGGGAAATTCCAAACGAATCCCACGAAATAACCTTCTTAGTATACCTACCGTATTTCTGCCTATGTCGGTGTATATAATCAGCGCACAGTGCAACCCAACCCAGGCAGAAATTCGGAAAGATTCATTGAAACCGGCAGACTATGCACCTACCGTACTCGCCTCCATTGCCGAATGGGTCAGTTTATTATAATCATTGCATTTGATCGCCCCACTGAGCAAATTTTTGAACGTATACATGTGCAAGTCGACCACTTACTGTAACTCTACAATGTATCAACACTGCAACAAATAAATATTATTTTTGTAATGAGCACATCGAATAAGCCCTCTATACAGAGTTCCAGGCGTACCCATATAAAGTGACTTTCTACCGTATGCATATCGTACCCCCGCGTAAGATTCTTTTGGATTCAGATTTCGTCCACTATGAAGCGAGATATGGCCACGCGACGGTGATGTCCATACATATAGCGACATGTCGCTGTACATGGTATTGTACCTCACCTACTTAATTGACGTACCTTCATGTTTGTCCCTTCTTGGAAAATATTCTTGGAAAATTCAGGGCAGCCCGTTCAGGGAAACCGTCTGGTCAAAAAGTCTTATGGAGGTCGAGAATTCGAAGAAAATGAGTATCCTTGGACTGCTGTGTTACTAAAAAATGGTATAGTACATAAATTCATAAAGTACGGCCATGTGGCAACTCTTTAATGAACTTTAGGGCAAGCATATTGCAGTGGTGTTCAAATATCTCCACGACATATTTTGACAGCTGCTCACTGTGTGTTGGCCTTTGACGAAATAGAGAGGATGGAGCTGTGTCGCATGAACCAGTCACAGAGGTTGGCTTGTTGAATTCACTTTTGAGAAAGTTAGCCATCACTATCAGTAGAGCAAATAGATGTGTTCGTCAAAATTTCTACAGTCAATATTCAGCATTGTTTCCTACATGGATATGCCAGAAAATATACTAGTAGCAATCGGTGGGGAGAAAGTGAACTGCAACAGCTTCCCTTGCCAATACAATAAGAATTTGTATAGAGCAAAAAAGGTCAGTAATTTTTTGATGTACTCTAAAACCTCATGGATAGGGCCTCCTCGCAGATAAATCCGTCCAAAGATAAGTTCGGTGCAGATAAAACCGCTTAGGATATCTGACAAGATTTTAGGGTAGTTATGATGGAAGAAAGGACTTACCTGTAGGGCGAACTCATCTACTTTATCAGTCAAAAAGGGGGCCGTATCTGTAAGATTTTCCAATCATTTGCGACCACTTCTTATAAATTCAGATCACAACAAAGGAAATGAGCATGTGTGACCTCAAAGAGGATCTGGCACTTATTGAACTCAGCCAAAATATCTTGGAAAACGACTCGACAGCGATTTGCATGCCCAAAGATGACTTGCAACCGGATCGTGTTCTCTATGCAAGCGGCATCGGAATCGATCGTGAGCGAAGAAGCTATAACATTCTCTAACAAAGTCAATTTCTTTTTGGAGAGGGTCTTTTGAACCGCTCGCCATAGCAGTGCGGCCCTGACTGATCAGCACAGCAGTGCGATTTGCCGCGCTTGGGCAGAGCGGCAAATCGAGTGAGCTGTACAGGCAAAGATGTTATTTACTTGTTAGGCCTATCACGTCCAGCGTGATATAGCAGGTACAGACAAAGTGAAAGCTTAATTCATGAATGTCACCATTAACTATCTGATACAACTCAGTTTCTTAACACATTGACGACCAAGGTGTTTCACGGACGGGTCAACATTTTTTAAAAATCAGGCACAATTTCATCTGCAGTACACCTACAGTAACTGTGGAATGCTGGCAAAAACAGTGAAGGTTGTGTCTAGATCTATCTAGCACAAAAAAAACTCCCGGACGTGGGTCTAATACAAAAACAGTAGCCATTTCAACGATACACATGGTGTGTCAAGCCTTGACACACCATGTGTGTCAAGCGGTCGTCAATGTGTTAAAGGCAGCAGCTCGCCAACCGAACATCCCGAAATTTGGACGTGGAAGGTTGCTTGCATCCCAAACATGACAACAGAGCAGGTCCGAGCGCATAGTATTCTGCCTCTGCCTAGAAAACCCCGATAAGCGCAAGTCATTCTAATACGCGCGGACGAGCTTGCTCCCTGACCCTTCAGAGAAGGCATGCCGCAATGTTATAATTGCGATGGTCGCGCAACGATTCTGCGTCTCTAGCCATGCTCCACTCGTCCAAATTCAAAGTGGTAGGCCTTGGAAAATGGTGGTTTTTGCCATTTTCGCACTCCTCAAGGTGGATTTTCGGAACCAGCGCCTCGAATTACCCAAGCAAAAAACCTTCAAATCGAAAATTTGCCGAGCCCCTGCCTTTAACGTCTCTGCACGGAAGCCTCGCGCGAGAGGTTCAAAGGACTACGCCTATGCACGTTCCAGCTTCAGGTTTAGCAACTCACATACCTTTGCCTCCACAACAATGTGGCCATTTCTGATGCAAAATCTTATACTTCTTTGATTTTAGCTTCAAGCCCTATCACTTTCGAGAATCAGAACGGCGAGCAAGCACATGGACAGCAAGTAGTAGCACTCCGCTATCACGCAGTCGATCAGTTACTGCACCAGATTGAAACCGTGACCTTTGCAAAAGGAACATGTTCAGTTATGTTGCACCAGTCACATTCTATTCTTCTCCTTCAGCTAAGAGTACTAAGATTTAGGGAGACAGTGGGGGTCCGCTGTTTCAAGTGAACGAAGAGGGACGCCATATCCTTGTGGGAATTAATAGCAGCAAAGTTCGAAATTGCAAACAGCATAACGAAAGTATGCTTATCGGGACTGTAGAGCAATCATTTTTTTCAATTTTGCAGATATGATAAACTATTTCACTGACGTACGTGCGAATTTGGACTGGATCTGCAAATATTCAGGTCGCACAAGTACTACATATTCATATGTATTTTTTTCTGATTTAGGTGTCTGCCCACTGGAAGAAGAATTGTGGTGAAAGGAAGTTGCGATAAGACGTATTCTAGTCCATACCATATCTGGTTATGGAGGTTATTCTGAATAGACGATTTTACAAACTTCTATTACTGCTTGCACAAATCAGTATCTTTCCTAACATAATCAGTAAATAAAAAAATGAAAATGAATTAGATTTGTAGCGTTTACGTGACGATTATAGTGTACTACTTCCAGCAAAGTGATTTTCCTGCATGTTTACGATGTCAAGTCGACGGTAAAAACGGCTACAATGTGGTTAAGCAGTTTTAATTTCAGGTTTTGGCTTTTTTTTTGAAGTTCGATGCTATAGGTGGTGTTATGGCATTTTTTGTTTTACTTCAATAATCGAATTCTTCAAAAAATTGACAAATTGACAACGAAATCTTGATAAGAAGTTCAAAAAAGTCATAAGAGAGCAGGCTTCCATACTTTATTTCAAACCTGATTTATCCGACTATTCTGAGCGGTATAATCAAGGCAACAGTGTATAAGAGATTTTATATTGCCAAAACTGAGACTGCTTGGCTAGCAAACTATAAGGCGACAGATGTATGAAATAAGAGCAATATTCAGGCAGAAGTCGAACCTTGAAACAAGCAATATCTTTTTCTCGTTTGTTGAAGACTACATTAGCATCACTTAATCTCATCGAATCAAATTGAACTTGAATTGAAAGAGCTGCTTGCTTAGTAGAGCTGCATTGAATGTAAATCTTATGCAGTCTAGTAGATTTCACTGTAAATGTGGTTCCCTTGCGGTGATGACAACTTTTGCGCGAGAACGAATGCTATTTTTACGAACATCGATGTATAGCTTTTCATGGAGTGCATATTGCCACTGTTTACGCGCAAAAGGTGTTGCAACACAATAAATTATCTTAACCGTCAAAATCACTAGCTGGGAGGGAGGGGGGGGGGGGCTTTGCTTCAAAATGATAAAAAAATCTTCCACTTGAGAATAAGCACAACCAACTGCAATATTCATTTATAGCACTAAGAAATCCGTACTCTCTTCTGAGCACCAAAACGAAATGATAAATAATGGGTAATTTGCTCTAGGACAATTTTCATCAAGTAGTGATTACTTTTCGATACCGTGAGATTGTTGGGCCACGTGTGGTCAAAGCCTTGATCTTCCTTACAGTGACCTTCTCTCCTGCTTTTCATGATATTTCTTCTCCGTCACGGACTCACCTATCGCAGTACAGAAGCTCATGATTTGCAAAATTGAGACAATGTGATATTCTTGGTTATCAAAAATGATGAGTGTTCTGGTGACGCTATATGTGAATGGAGTGAGTATATCAGAATTTGTACTGTGAACTCTTCCAGTGGATGCCGACAGGAACAAGGAATCTTCGAAGGGAGAAACTTTGCAGATAAAACCAGCTAATGAGGGAGAGTTCCCAAGTCAGCTCTGCCAACCCGGATGAGTAATACATCACCGTAACGGGCTTGAAACGCTGATTCCAAATCTGCTTTCCTTTTCTGCGGAGCGGCTTTCTGAGAGAAGTTATGAGCGTTTAAAAGTCCAAATTTGACATGTTTCAAGTGGCTTAAAATTGGCGAAAACTGTACAATAACACATGAAAGTAATTCATCAGTTTTGTACCAAGTATATTGATTGCAAGGACGGAACACAGATAATGAAATTCCGTTAGGTGTTGTTTTACAGCTTTCAACTGATTTTAAGCCACTTTGAACATGACAAATTTAGACATTTGAACGCTCATAACTTCCCTCGGAAAGTTGCTCCGCAGAAAAGGAAAGCAGATTTGGAATCAGTGTTTTAAGCCCGTTACGGTGATATATGACTCATCCGGGTTGGCCGAGCTGACTTGGGAATTTTCCCTTGTAAGATCCGTATGCACACACATACCCGCGGGGAGGGGAGGGGATCTGAGAGGGACGCGCCATATCTCACTAATCTAATTTCTTCTTCTTTCTTTATATGGTTTAGTTCTCATACCCCAACTGACCATAATGGATGCCATTTACTACCATAAAAGATTAGAATCACTATTTGGTGCGATTCCTGGGGATCCCCGGCGGATCACTTCTCATTTTCAGAGTCATCTTTCTGAAAACTTAATGAAAGCGCGATAAAATTGTACCGAGGACATACTATGGCACTGTTCCATGTTTTCGACAGGCAGATTTCGAAATCCTGTGGTTTCACTTATTTCTATAACAGACATGCTCAGCAGTGCCATATATCTTCAGTACAGTTTGACCGCGTTTGCGACGTGTTTTCAGGAAGATAAATGAGTTTGAAGATGAGATGTAATCCCGTGAAGATTCCCCGGGGATCACACAAAATAGTGATAATCTAATATTGTATGTCAGTACCCTGGCAACCGTTATGCGCTGGTAACAGGGTATGAGAACTTCATAGCCCAGATAAAGAAAGAAGAAGAAAGATATTCAGAGCAGGGAGATATGAGGTATCTCCAGGCAGGGGCCCGGCACGAGGTGGGCAAATGGGATTTTCCAAAACGAATTCCTCTTTGATCCCAGAATTGTTTACGAATACCCCCTTGAGCCCGAAACGATGCTTTATGCTTGTGCAACGAGAGCACCGGCCACACTTCGCCCAAAAGCGCTCAAAAACGCTCAAAATGTTCAAACTCCTCTAATTACCCATCACTTGTACCAAGATAGAATACAGGAAGAAGAATAAACAAGAAAATGATGAAGGATAAAGAAATATCAAAGTAACGCAGTCATAGGACTGAAAGACGCCGTTCTCGCGCGTATCGATTGATTGGGGCGCGCTTTCCATCTTAGAAAGCTAGGCTGTTGATGAGATTTTAGGCTCTAACAAAGACAAGAGGAGGAGTTTCGGAACCAAAATCTCACCATATAGTAAACTTTAGGTGTACAACAGATTTATATAGAAAATTTTGAAAAACTTATGTCAATTGAAAGTTTGGCCCACCTCAGGTGGGCATTAGGTGGGCAATTGCCCACCTAATTTGGAAAAAAGTTGAGCCCGCTCTTCATTCACATAAGTTTTTCATAATTTTTCATATATTGTTCCTTAGTACTACTGCGCGTATACACACCAAGTTTCGCGCGATTACGTTTTCTCTGCGCTGCAAACGAGCCATTTTTTCATTTTTTTCATAGTGGGAAATTTTCAGAAAAAAAACTTGTCACAACCTTCAGTCACATAATTTTTCAGTAAAACTTGTAAGTTAAGCCCTGCAGGCCCGTGTTCATGTACCTACCAAGTTTCATACCGTATAGTCATCTGTGCGCTGCAAACGAGCCATTTGAATTCACATCTTCATTTACCAGTTTTGCAAAATTTTTGAAAAAATGCTTATTACACCTCGCATTCACATAAGTTTTTCATAATATTTCATACTTTGTTTCTACTAGCCTCTTTTCGTTCGCTTACCTAATTTGGTGCTATATCGTTACGCCTGCATTGAGAACTGATCATGTAATCATGCTATTCCACGGCATCGCTCATGCGACGTCGCACACGCGGCAATTAGCGGCAACGTGGCGTAGCGCGCGCGAACTCTGCTGTGTATTAAAGTTTATGAAAACTATTTCCCAATGAATTAGATGTATAAGGTAAGCATGATTCGAGCTTCTTTTGCCTGCACTTGGAATCTTCTTTCGGGGCTCCGCCCCGGATCCCGCAAAAATGATATACCCTTTGCTTTTTGGCCCCAAAACGATTTCCAGCTTCTCATTTGCCCACCTCGTGCCGGGCCCTGTCCCCAGGGCCCGGAAAGATGGTCTGGTGTCAAACTAGACTTCGTTTTTGAAGTTAGAAGCAACGGGGATATCGTTTTCATAAGGTCACCGAAAAAAATGACAAGAATGTCAGGTTTTACAATGGCTTTTTACAGCACACAAGCAATCACATGACACCCCCCAATGTGGGCTATAGTCTTTTTCAACCCGGAGTAGGCGAAACATTCCAAGTGGAACAACGCGTCAGCACCGCCACTGACACAGCCTGATAGATTAGAATGAAGAGACGCAGACTGCAAAGCGGCGCGAATCGATGCGAAGCGGACTCCCGCCAGTCCAATTTTGCCTAAACTGAGCTGAAACTTATTGTATGTATGTTAATGCTTCACAAGCTTATGTGCCTAATACATGTTCCCGAATTTGTTAGTTTCTGAAACCAACATCAAACAAACTAGGTTTGTTCGGAACAAAAATATCTAAGAGTTTACATAAGTTTTGGACCTTTTCGATCTGTACGATTAGAACGCTAAAAAATCTATCATACAGCGAAGAGAGCAAATCAAACCATTACCTCTCCTCTTTCTGAGCCAAAAACAGTGTAAACCTACGCATTGATAGATATCGCGCTCCAATCACATTCGGTGTCCTTTGAACTATGTGGCGTAAAATGCATCGCCAGATTGTTGAGACCGCAGAATTGGTTGGCCTAAGAGGTTCTCAAAATTCTGACCATTAAAATGGTACCTTACTCAATGACGGAGCCTTTAATCAACTCAGAATGTTTTTTTTACTTTTTTGTTATTATATTTTATTTTATTATTTTTTTTGTTATTTTTTATTAGATACCTAAGATGTGCTTTTTCCGCTTTTTTATTTTCATTGCTGACTTTTACATCAAAAGAAACTTCTAGACTTTCGTGAACTCATGGAGGACTTCGTTCCCAAAACTGTTCCAAACCAACGCGTGCCGGGCCCTAAGCTTTCCCTCTCAGATTCCTCCCCTCATCGCGGGGATGTGCGTGCATACGGGCCAAGTGGTTATTTGTAGCGCTTTTAAAACCGGAGTTAATCAAATCCTCGGCACTGCAAAATGAAGTGGTGATAATGAACAAACATGAGAGAAACCGCTTCAAGCACAGTTTAGCTTTTAAGCTATTTAAAGAGCTCAAAGGTCGCTTCTCCTCTAGCAGGCACAATTGCCAGATTATCACCTAGCTCAATGAGGATTATGAAACAAATCCAAAGGTTTTCAGCATTAAGTCAGCTAAGTTTTTTGCGGGTAGTGAAAATTTTCCGTGGGAAATTAGACGTGATTCAAGAAAAATCCAAACATGTAAAAGCACGGAAGAGCTGCTCTACTTGGTAATTATAAGGATTTGAAAATGAAATGTGAGCAAAAAGAGAGAGCAAGAGAGCACTTAACACGTGTTCAATGCAGCTTTGGCAGGGTTCATACTATTCCCATGTTTCGGAAGTATTCCCTCACTGTGCTCGAACTGTTCCGGAAATGCGCTGCATGCGCTGCGCAGCCGCTCGCATGCAATTTTGAGTGGCGGAAGTTGAGAATTTTGACCGTTTTCGACTTTTTTTCGCAGTATATGGAAAGTGCTTTTAATGTACAAGTGTTACTAGTAGTAACCATTCCTATATGAAAAGTCCACATAATGTTTAGCAAAGGGACCGGGATTGCATGTAACCCACTGAGGAGTTCACACTATGCTTGGGTTCGCTAACCTAGCGCTCAGTGGGTTCCGTAACCCACGAGAACTGTGTCATTTGCTTCGTGAATAACCAACATGCTCGCCCTTTTGGTTCGCACACCCATTGGGTTCGTTCATGAGTACCGGTTAAGTGGGTTTTCGTGGGCTCCGAAACCCATGGGATAAGCTTAATTCACTAGGTTCCGGAAGCCACTAGCTTCGTGAATACCGATCTCATTTACTACTATAACACTTGTACATTAAAAGCACTTTCCATATTATATAACTCATAGGAATTTTGTTGAATGGATTTTGATAAGATATTTCACTGAGATGTAGGAATAGCAAATTTGATGCCAGCCAGGACTAGGCGGTCTCCGAAATGTCGGAAACAAGCTTGAGAAGTCGACCTGAGAAGTCTCACATGAACTTCTTAACGGAAATGTTTGCGTCAAATTGTAATGAGGTTAAGCACTGGCCCACATTTGCTGGGTCACCGAACTTAGCAAACATCTGCAAGTGCTTTAGGACAGTACTCACTTTTTATTTTTGACCCTAAGAAATCTACGGTTTGACTCGCACCAAGACAAATAGAACTGATTATGACACAAGTCAAGCCGAGAAGAGGCTTGATAGGTTCCTGCGAACATGCACACTGCCACTGATGATGGAAATGTTTTCAAAAGTAGGAGTTTGAAAAAACGCATAGATTCACTTGTCATGTATATCAAAAGCATCCGTAGGATAAAGCTTAGCTACTCCTCGCACCACGACAATAATTCAAACTATGCAATTGTGAATGTCAGCTATTTCATGCAGCCCTTAAAAATGTGGATAATATCTTCCTTTTGAGGTGAAGACAACTCTAAATATGAAAGATCACTTGCACAAAAAAGAGTAGAATCCTCTTTTTGCATCCCTTTTCACACGTATTGAAGTCGACAGTCATTTGTGATCATAGTCAAGCGAGGCTACCATACGCCAGAGAATATTCGAATGAATGGGATAAGGAATTGCAAGTTTTGTTGCACAAAAGACATTGAATGATGTCCATGGCCAGAGATTCCTCTCATTTTCGCGTTATTCCGCTCCCCCCCCCTTCCCTTTCTAGAACTTCGAACTCGAAGCGGGGTTGAAGAATGAGCGTTCTTTTTGCTACGTACGCCACAAAATGTTTCTTGTGATCATTCATTTCCTCTCCGCCTTATTTTTACTCAGACCTATTCCATTTGTTCCAGAAAGCGGTTGCGTAGTTTCCGCAGGCATCTGTTTGGAATTAGCTTATGCGAACACATACGCTTCGTAACTTGGAACTTGTCTCTTGTTTTGATGAGGCATTCTCAGCCCCTTTCCTTTTTTCATAACGTTGCTTTTTCTTTCTTCTACTTCTACCCCTCTTTTCCTTGTGATGAGAAAAGCTGCCAATTGAAACGGGGTTGAAGAAAAATCCCAGATGCTTCGTGCGCTCGTCCATTCTCTTTTCCATTAGTTGAGACCTACTTCATGCATTCTGCAAAGCGGCCTCTCAATAAAGATGCGAAAGTGCGCAGCAGCTTCCTGAAACACATGAAATAGGTGTGAACAAAAGAATGAGCAGAGAATGGACGAGAGCGCAAAGACCTATCTTCTCGAAATGGAGCAGAACAATATGCACTCTTCAACCTGCTTCGAATTCACAGCTTTTTGCATCACAAGCAGAAGCGGGTGAACGAAAGAAAGATCTGAAGATATGTAGGAAAGGGGCTGAGAGACACTAGAAGCCACTCCTCATTATTTATGAAAGAGTTTCGGACAACAGCGATAGTTCTTGAGCGTTATAGGCCCCTTTATTTTTTCCTCATTGCTTTTTCCAATCCAGTTCTTCTTGTGATGAAAATAACTTCAATTTCGAAGCGGGTTTTTAAAAGGAAACGCTGCTCTACTTCCTGTATTTGGGATGATATGTCTTAGTGCTGAAGCTCCCGGTGGGAATCCATTCAGTGCCCGCGGCGTCCACCTATACAGAGACACCAGCACTTACTGTTACCTTTTGCACCGTGTTCTCATCGCACTCGCGTTTCCTCATCCTCTCCCTCGGAAATCTTTGTACAGATCTATTTATGTGGAAGGTACTGCATACTCATCACGGCCATGTGTCTAGAGCTAAGGCGTATCTCTGGTTTTTTATGAGTTAGGAGAAACATGATGAAAGATGTACTAAATAGTTTGAAGTTAGTTTTTACATACTTTCTTGGTTGGAATTTTTCAACAGGGACTTGCAGAGCTTTCTCTGGAGGTGTTGAATGCTTCTGTGCCAATTATCTGATAATGATTTGCAGGTGACTTGCTAAACTTCACGTGGCTTTATCAAAGTTTAATTGAAAATTGCAGGAAAAGTCACATTAACATATTGATTTACAGGAACGTGGTGAATTCCCTGGATTTCATTTCTGACAGTGCCACATAGTTTCATTGTGCAACACTTGCTTACTATTCAAGACAAATCTGGTCGTAATACCCCACGATTGTATTACATTAATCGTTTGATTGGTTCTGCTGTTTTGACGTTTCCTTTGAGGAAAAAATGAAGCTTGTTATTTGGATCGGGTCAATATTCCGTGATGCACGTTTCAGCGCATACATAGTCTTATTGTCCGACTATCAGTTCTGCAGCTGATATATAATCGAAATTATGAAAGTCCCTCCATTTTGTGATTGATATTGTACAATCTTGTCCTTTGTAGGTAGCCCGATATTTCGCAATCTTCTGAGTGCGAAAAAGTTTGACTTTCTGTATTTCGCAATGTCTCATTTGATTTGTCTCCTGTTCAGCGCTGACTCAGGATTTGCTGGCGATTTCATTTTGATTTCAAACGTTCCGTTACTAGTAAGTGAGATTTCGAGCTGTCACGTCTATCAATCAATTTTTCAAATTATCACTTGAAACATTACTAAAGAAATCCTGTACGGTTAGTTCTACTGGCTTCAGCGTCAAACTTCTTTTAAATTTCTAATTGAAAGGAACTTCTCTTAGCGTTGATTTAAGTTCTTGGCTGATTTGAATCTACTTCCAACACATCTACCACTTGAAGTTGAGGCTGCCCGCCTACCGATCAACTTCGCAAGGATTTTATCACTCGAAAACAACGTCAAGGAATTTTGCCGAGTTAGCTATCACTTCTTATGTTTTTATCATCAATCCTTCCCAAGGCTATCACCACGTCATGACATATCTCGAGAAATGTACGTATTATTTTTGCTTCGCCCCTGCCTTTAGTACTTGAACAATGAGGCAGCAATCTTGGCTTTCTTGAAGGGGCTTCAAAGGAAGATTCGCTTGAGGGCAGTTTGATGGTAGCTGTTTTCCACTTTCCGCGGAACAGGCATAACAAGCAGCCTTCAACCTTCCTTGAAAAAAAAAACAGTCCTCCTTGAAGCAAGGTAAGCATTCTTCAGACAGATAGTGATGGAGCGCTAGATAAGCATGTTTATGTAATGAAAGGGCTCAGACGTTGGACATCTCGTTAGCACCGTTGATTAAGAAGCCTGTGCACGTCGGTGGTCTGCCGCAACACAACCCTGAAGATTTTCACCACCGTCTGATGGGAAGTCACCCTGGGCCCACTTATTGAACCCGCGTCAGTTCGGCGCGATTATATCGCGGCAAGGTAGATCACAAACGTTTTTCCCGTTGACACGTATGAGCATGCCCCTTTCAATGGATTACGTTTTGTTCGATCATTGTTCCCGCCGAGTTCCACCGCATATGTGGACAGAGAGGTCGACGCTTCCTTTTATCGAATTCCCAACGCTTGAGGACGCCATAGTGTCTCGAGATATGCGGAAGAAGTGATTGAGTCCACTTTGCGGCGCGAAAGAAGATTGGTACCTGAGGAACGAAATATGTAAGTCGGGGACCTTTTTCGCTAATTTTGCCACCAAAGCTAGGTGGGAAGTACCACATCTTGCATTAAATACCGGCAGGTCCTTAAAGAGAAAAGATTTTATTATAAACAGGCCGGACTTCCACGACTCACTGCATACTTCTTGAGTTTTCTTCAAATATCGAAAATGACAGCTACGGATATGATCGCACTCTGGTGTTAATGAAGGATTTTGGTTCTGTTTATGATGTGGCACCATCAATTACCCTCTCAAATCACCCGACGAATGTCTCCGCTTGGCAAAGAAACCGCGTACCATTGCACTTTAAACAAATACCTACTACTTCCGCGCGGCACGTTTTCCTTTGCGAAACCAGCCGTCTGGAGCCGACTGCACTCAGAAATTGTGCTTAGTCTTACTTATAGGGTTGAGTCATTCATAAACAGCATCAAAATGGCTCTACAAGGAATATCTAACGCAGCTGTTACCAAAAAACATTGTCGGTTTCGCTGGCCAGATGGCAGGAAGGGATGCCGCTGGGTTATGCCCGTTGCGACGTTTCGTTGCCGTGTGCAATCCGATTCCAGAACCATCAGCATCAATAAACGCGAGGGACTTCTTATGCGAAGAGGTAAATACTTCTGTCCAATGCACTCCGATGATAGCCTCACCGGCGAAGGCGGCAGAAAGAATTTAAGTGGTTACGCGACCGAAGAGGACGGTTCGACAATTTGATGTATCACCACAATGAAGCTTTGTGTAAGATGAGCCATGTGTTCAGTGTGGCATGCCCCGGACTCGCAGCAGTTCGGATATGGAGGAGGAACAGAACTCACCAAGTTGCAGCCATCATTCCATCCTTATCCTACCCGATGCGACTGACCATTACGCTTACTGACAAGCGATCACTTGAGGGCTGGGGAAGACATCGACTATGAGGTTTGGATCAATTTATGAGTGCGGCGATACATAAAGTTGGAGGTTGTTGAAATCAACCAAGATTCGGACACTAGAGAGCTACATGTTGGAATGACGTAACAAACAAGCATGTAGGATCCTACAAAAAACGATCAGAAATCTCCGCCGTAGTGCCAATAATACCGCTCCTCTTGATTTATATGTAATGTTGTGTTGATTCCACTCTGAAGCCTGCTCTCGAGGCTATTGCTCGCATGAAGATTTACGGGGAACTATTAGCAGGGAGCAAACAACGGCAACATCGCTTACGGAGTGCACGCTTCGGGCTCCAGGCTGCTGAAGAAGATGGACGCACCGAAGAAGTGGAGATACCGAATTCAATAATCATGCATGGACGAACAATCAGCTTTACTGCTGATGAACAGGATGCCCTGCTACTGGAGAATAGCAAATTCGCTTAATGTTCATAGAAGTCGTTTTTGGAACTGAACAAACTGTCGTCAGAGCTTGCATTGCTTTACGCCAGATGCTAGCCGGACAACGAGTTATGGTGACTGCAAGCACGATATCGCAGTAGCACAATTCACGGACACCATCCACGGGTTGGGAGGCAATAGCGCAGGAGTGATTCAATTCGTGACACAAACCTCAACGTTTGCACCGATGCACCTTCGACGTTGGCTGATTTGCCTGAAGTATTGAAAATGATAGGAACTTCTACGAGAGTACGACGAAGGAGCAAGTCATGTGTAAATCACGGCAGGTCGAAATAAATACGAAAGATACAAAAGAAACCTTTATCGCCCTAGAAGACATGGTAAAAATGTTTGACTGCATGGATTCGAAGATCGTTTGCATTACAACTACATCATCCTTCAATACCACGCGCAAGGATAGCATTTACAAGGGACACATCAGTGTGCTAATTTAGTGCTGTGACGAAGCATCACAAGTACTAGAATTCACGTTTATGGCAACCACTCGCGACTATGATTAGCCAGGCAGATCTATAGCTGAAACGTCCACCAACCGGAACCTCATGCAAAATTTTTGACAGAGCAACCTCGCTATCTACGGAGCAACTCGCATCATGAATATTCTGCAAAAAGCAAGGGCAGTTCCGGAATGTTCACTCGTCACCACCTGTAGAGCCCATCCTGCCCTGAATTCTCTGCCTAATCAGCTGTTCTATGATGGATCCCGTGTCTACGGTGTAGCCGCAGCAGACAGACGCAACTGCTTGATATCATGAATTTTCCCAATTCCAAGTTAGTTCCTGTTTGTGCACTCTAAAGGAGAATCAGCTAGGGCCCCCTCTTTATCCTGTTCAAACGAAGCGGAGAAGAAAATTTACGAGTTTTTCGTGTCAAGCTTGATCCAGAAATCGTCATCATTACGTTTTACAGAGAACAGCATTGATGCTTAAGGAGTTCGCTGATGATGTGGAGGTCAGCTCCACAGTGGTCTTAGTCCAAGGACGATAGAAGGACGTCGTGATGGTCCTTACGACTAGGACACTTCGATCCAGAGATTGTGAAATTTATTGGCAATCCAAGACGAATGAACGTGGCGCTCGCGACATGTCGCCGTGGCCAATTCGTGGTGGGCTACTATTCGTCGCTTATAGTGTGCTTACATGGAAAGCAGTGTTGGACTGGGCCAGCGAACGCAATGCATGTGTGCCGTAACACGCCTATCGTCGTTATTTGCACGTCTAACCTGAAGGTGAGAAGTTTATCTGTTTTGGCAAACAAAGCCTTGAAGCTCCTTATAGAAGAGTCCAAAATCCAGTACGGCCTGATACGACCAATGCTTGAAATTTTCTTTGATTGGACAGGTTGGAGTTTTTTGAATTCAGACTCTAGAAAAGGAAGACGTTTGAGCGTTTTTCAGATTTTGAGCTCGCATCTGTCTGGTAGCGATTTCAGCGCTTGTGATTGAAAGCAGGTTTGAATTTTTGTGCTTTGGGCCCTGGCAGTCTCTACAAGGAATTTATTTGAGGATTTCGCAAACCGTTTGACTTTCAAATCCGAGATCGATTTCTCCATGGTTGAATAGGTTGAAATCTTTTTGATTTAGATCTTAGGAATGGACCTTTCTTTCAAAGATTTTAAAATTCGTTTTGTCATAGTAGGCCTAAAATCGCTCTCACTGCTGTAGCTGAAAGAAGTTTTTCAGTTTAGTCATCAGAAAGGAATCCGGCCGGCGCTGTTTTCAGAGATTCCAAGAGAAAAATTTCATCTTACCTGGTGAGATCAAGAATCATGCGTGATCAAGGTGGTATGTTTTCGCTATCTGTAGAAGAACCTAAAGGCGATTTTTTAAAGATTTAACAATCCATTCTAACTTAGCGGAACTAGCAGCTTGTTAGAAATAGTCATTTTGCTGCTTTCTTAAAGAAATAAGTTTTGTGCAGTGACGTTAGATTGAAGCAATATGAAATCTTCTCGCCTCGTGTATATATCTCAGTAATCACTTCCTCCTTTATGCTTATTGTGATCTGATATACCCACTTATTTTCTATGTTGTATCCTTCGTAATCTTTCTTATCTCTACTACAGTCCTCTAAGCATAATCTCCCATTTATTTCTGGGATATTCTTACACCTCTTTACTAGTTACTCACGGCTCTCACTCTTATCATGGATCTAATATCTGCTGCATGACGAAGGCGGTCGCCCAAATAGGTTGAAAGCTGTTGCGCACGCGGCGCGCGGGCAATTATTAACCACCGGGCGCGCGCACGCTCTGTCAGCGGTCATCCACTGGAGCGTGCGCGCGCCCCGTGGCTGACAATTGCCCGCGCGCCGCGTGCGCAACAACTTTCAACTTATTTAGGAGACCGCCTTCGTCATGCGGCAGATATTAATTTTTCCATGATCTTCTTGATACCTCCCGATTTTTTTCTATGCATGAATCAACATAAAATTTTTTAGAATTTCTTTTTACCTCTACGTCCTATGAACATCGTTGTGTTTTCTATGTTGTATCCTTCGTAATCTATGTGTACATATGAATAACGTTACATCTCACCACTTTGTTCTGCGCATACATACAGTGCCTATTTGTTATCATTTTTATGACATTGTTGCTATTGTTTTTTCATTTTGAAAATAAAATTTAAACTTGCACTTATTAAAGACATCCAACCAACACATGAATAAGACAAATTGGATTTTGCTTTCCATGGGGCCCAACGTTGAGCAAACTCTTTTCATAAAAGATCATTGATTCTCGTCTTAGGCTAAGGGCATACCTCACGCGATTTTATTCGCGCCGCGATCTGGCAATACTCCAAATGTGCATCTCATCGTAAGGGGTTTCTGAATGTACGAAATATAGGGCATTTTATCAACTTGCCAAAACTATATATGCTGTGCATTTGGGGTCTGCCAGTATTGAATAAGGTATCTGGCAAATCGTCAGATCGCGTGGCGACTGAAATCGCGTGAGGTATGCCTTTAGCCTTAGCGTTTTTAAGCCTCGCTAATTGCAAGATCATCAAACCTTTACGAGCATTCTTGGAAGAACCAGGATACAGGAATGATACAGGTCTTCGCCACAAACCGGCCGTTTTTATACGGAAAAGATCGATAGAATTGAACTCTTCCAGCTTACTCTTCTAACCTAATAACGGCAAATTCACCACCTTGTCATCTTCTCGATTCTTACACTAGATGATTAGTAGTTCAGGGGGCTAGGGTCTCACTTGGATGCAAACCACTTCAAGCAGCCACTTCGACAAAGATATTTATTGTACACAAGGGTTGTGATGTAGAAGACAAACGTTTTGCACAACAGTAAACGCGGCAAAATCCACCGCCCCTCTTTTAGGTTGGGTTCATACTAATCCGTGGGTTCCGAAATCCACCACAGCGCTCGAATTGTTCGCTGAGGAACTGTTCCGAATCTTACGGATCGGTATGAATCCAGCCCAACAGGAACGGACGGTGGATTTTGCTGCATTTACTATTGTGCAAAAAGTTTGTCTTCTAGATCCCTCGTGTTCATTGAAGAAGTGGTTTGCATCCAAGTGGGACCCTAGACGCCTGAACTACTCATCTAGTAAGAAGTCGAGAAGATGACAAGAAGGTGAATTTGCCTTATGTTAGGTCAGAAGAGTAAGTTAGAAGAGTTCAATTCTATCGATCTTCTCTCAAAAAACGGCCGGCTCGTGGCGAAAACCTGTATTTTGAATAGTCAGTCTTACTCTATAAGACCTGTTCCTCGTTTTCGAAGCAATCCTAAACCTTTTTTCATTGGCTCTTCAAAGCAAAGTTTTTGAGAAGTACTAATTTTCCTGAAGTATTTTTCCTTCTAAAGTTAGCAATCTCATATGGCAAGGCTTTTGTGATTAATTGTTACAAATTCAATGACCAAAGTTATTCAGCTAATTTTCGAAGCAGATTTTTGCATTATGCAAGCATCAGGAGAGCGTGTAGTTAGTGGAAATAGATGGAGTCTTTACAAAATAGAGGCGGCTTGTAGCAAATGACGTCAAGTGAAAGTTGATGATTGGTCAGCTGTTCGCAAGATTTCAGATAGGAGACGTTACTCAAGAAAAAGTTGCCATAACTCCACACAACCTCCCAAGAACTCGTACGACGAAGTGACTGAACGAGCCTGCGTGGCAGAGATCACGAAAGCGAACGACCCTTAGAAACAAGAGCAGATTGTTACTGAAGACTAGGCGCGAATGTGATAAAGCCTCCAGATTCGGCTAGGCGAAGGATGATCATCAGAGAAGCTTGTCCAAATTTTGAAGCAGCGAAATCTTCAGATCTAGTAGCAGCAAAACCCTTAGCGCTTTGCGACAGGTTTAAAAATCAGGGAAAAAGTCATGCTTGAAGCTGTCAGTCGGGTTTCGCGCGGCGTCCAGCTTCTTCCTTCTTCCTTGTTCCGGCTTCCTGGTGGCGATGGAAAAGAATGAAGCTTACCAGAGTTTTTAAATTAAAGTTCAGCAATGAAGGTACATCTAGAATAGGAGAATGAAGTTCTCTGAACTTCTTGTTCTTGATAAAAATGAAGAACAAGCAACGAGCAGATCAGAATAGCATTCAGATCATTATTAGCGTTTTGTTTTCAAGTATAGGTTACCACACGTGGAAGTGAGCCATGAAAACGAAACAGCGGTGAAAAGGAGAAATGGGGCAAGATTGATAAGCACAAAATTGCCAACTTTCGTTATGATAATTGATCTAAGTTCTTGGCCAATACGAGCGTTTGTATTGATGCAGCGCTATTATGGAGCACATAGAGTTGTTCAAGTATGCGTAGGAGCACACATTTCCCGCGGATAGATGGAGCAGATTAATGCTTAGTCTTCAATCACGTTTCAGCTACTGCTTTTTTTCATTACGAGGAAAAGCAAGTGAAAGAAGAAAACGGAGGAATTATGATATGAGGAAAAGAAAGGGAGTGAGAATGCCCAAAAACAAAATTCATCAAACCTAGAGCAATTCCCGATTTTTCGCATTTTCAGAATTTTGGCAGCCCTAACTCATGACAGATGCCTGTGAAAGCAGCGGCTCCCAGGTACACATGAAATAGGTAAGAACGGAAATAAAGAAGAGAGGATAGACGAAAAGACCTATCTTTTCGGGTGCATGGAGCAGAGCAGCGTTCATTCCTCAACTCTGCTCCAAGTTCGAAGTTTTACTCGTCAAAAGGAGAGGGGTAGAAGAAAGAATGGACAAGCATTGATATGGAAAGAGGAAAGGAGCTGAGAATGCTCAAATATGAAACACATCAGGAAACAAGAGAAGTCCCATTTTACGCATTTTGAATTGTTCCCATGCGACTTAGGACAGATGCCTGCGGAAATTACACGGCGGCTTCCTGGAATAAATAAAATAGTAGGTCTGAGAAAAAATAAAATGAAGAGAGAATGAACGAGCACAAGAGCGCACATGTTATAGCATACGTAGGAGAAGAGCGCTCATTCTTTATCCGCGCTTCGAGTTCAAAGTTCTCCTGATCAAAAAGGGAAGCGAGGTAGAGGAGCAACGCCAAAATGAGGGGAACCTGGAAGAAAAACTGTTGAAAACGGCAGAATTTCTAACTTCCACCATTCAAAATTGTATGCGGGCGGCTGCAGCGCATGCAGCACAGTTCCGGAACAGTTCCAGCACAGTGCGGGAACTGTGCGGGAAAGTTCCGGAACGGCGAATCAATATGAACCCAGCCTTTGTTCTACGGTTTCATGCTTGACCTTCTGTCATTCTAGCGTGTTTGCGGATGGATTGAAAAAACTGATAAACTTTCGGACCCACCTAATATAACTCCTCCATTTTGAGCGGGCCTCACGCGAGCCGCCGCAGCCTGAGCCGCCACCAGCCGTAGACGCCGCCAGCAGCCGTCAGCCGCCGCTAGCCGCTAAGGGCCTATCAGCAGCCAAGAAATAACAGTCGTATATTCACCTAGGGGTTCCTCAGCACGCTGAATAAAGTGCGGTTCATAATTATACGAACACCAATAATTTTGTAAGTTTTTGGACTTTTTGGGAGGAACTCAAAAAGTCATTGGTAACATGGAACATAGCCGAAAACGGTATATGATTCATAAGGATGGAAATCGATGTCAATTGTAGGAGTGTTTTTGCGCCTAATGCGAATTTTTATCGGTTCATAATTATACGAACACCTCAAACAAAGGTCCATTTTTCATTCAAGATTGCAATCGTTTGAGTCCAAATTTTTTGAAGAGTTACAGTAACAAAGTATGACATATCTGCTACACACTGAACCCAGTGCCGTTCAAAAAGAGAACCGTTACTTTTTTCGGAAGGCTCTAAATGCTTTTGGAGTGATTGGGCTCTAGAAACATCCGTTCTTCTGTGGTTTACGCGCTCTAATTAGGTTCTACCAAAGCTATGAGATAAAACAAGCTCTTTCGTTAGGTATTTTGTTTGACGCTTGGAAAGTCCTTGCGTTTTCGTGCCGTTTTTCAACCAAGTTCCAACCTTAGCACAGAGTTAGCACGATTTCGAGCCTCAAAGCTCTGCTTCTCTCTTGCGCAAACATTTGATATGAAGCAGCTGCATTGCTTGCATGATGATATTTCTGTACCAAAGTTTTTGGGTTTTTCTACAAGTGATATTGCAGCTGTGGAGCTACAAACCAAATAAAAGTGTGATTGCAATAGTAAAAACAGTATTTCTGGGAAATAACGTCTGCGTGGACAAAACAAACGCTCAACGCTGCTGATTTTTTCTAGCCAAATATAAAGTCTTGTAAACTTCTACATACTATATGCTTACATCTTGTACGGCTTCAGAAGCTGAGTTTTGAGGCTCGAAATCGTGCTAGCTCTGTGGTAAGGTTGGAACTTGGTTGAAAAACGGCACGAAAGCGCGAAGATTTTCCAAGCGTCAAACAAAATACCTAACGAAAGAGCTTGTTTTATCTCATAGCTTTGGTAGAACCTAATTAGAGCGCGTAAACCATAGAAGAACGGATGTTTCTGGAGCCCAATCACTCCAAAAGCATTTAACCCCTTTTGAAAAAAGTAACGGTCCTCTTTTTGAACTGCGCTGGGGTTAGTATAAGCAGATACGTCAGACTTTGTTACTGTAACTCTACAAAAAATTTGGACTCAAATGATTGCAATCTTGAATGAAAAATGGACCTTTGTTTGAGGTGTTCGTGTAATTATGAACCGTTAAAAATTCGCATTAGGCTAAGGGCATACCTCACGCGATTTCAGTCGCGCCGCGATTTGGCAATACTCCAAATGTGCATAACTCATCGTAAGGGGTTTCTGAATGTACGAAATATAGGGCATTTTATCAACTTGCCAAAACTATATATGCTGTGCATTTGGGGTCTGCCAGTATTGAATTTGAAGGTATCTGGCAAATTGCCAGATCGCGTGGCGACTGAAATCGCGTGAGGTATGCCCTTAGCCTTAGACGCAAAGACAGCACAAACAGCAAAACAACACAAAACAAATGGAAATCGATGTCAACTCTTACAGTTGGCATCGATTTCCACTCTTATGGATCATATACCGTTTTCGGCTGTGTTCTATCGCGTGGTACCAACGGCTTTTTGAGTTTCTCCCAAAAAGTCCAAAAACTTACAAAATTTTGGGTGTTTGTATGATTATGAAACGCACTTTATGAACAGCGTAGTGATTTTGCACGTTAGCGCCATTTCTGACGTTACAATAGGTATCGGTAGGTGTGTCAAGACTTGAGACTGCTTAAAGCAAGAAGTCATTATTCAGTAGCCGATCACACTGCATTCTTTCTGCAGTGCGGGGCCTTTTCGCGGAATCACGATGAGTATAGGTAGTAGGTAAGTGTTAGGTCTCTCTCAAACCTGTGCAAAGGGGTCATCCGAAGATCTACAAACATTGTGCTCATATCGCATAGAGATTTCTGTGAACTTCTAAAGACCAAGTTGCCTGAAATGCAATGTCAGCATGCTCAAAGGGCCGGGCATACAGCACTCATTTCATTTCCTCGCGATTCTCCCGGAAGACACTTGCATCTCAGTTGTGATGGTGATGAATCGAGTCGGAAAACTATCACAATCGGCAATGACTGGAACACTTGCCTTGTTGGGAAAATCGCGACGTCATGAGATCGCGTGATGCAGGTTCCTAAAAAAACCTTAGGCATAGTTTGGAGCAAGTTTAAATTTTAAAGCCATCTAGACTAAGTTGACCGTAACCGAAAAAATGGCCGGGCTGCTATGGCGGCAAGAGGCTGCTAACGACGGCCGCCAGCGCTGTATGAAGGCACCTTAACTTTTCTGTAAGCAGAGCAAATGGAGGAAAACGGGTAGCAATGGATAGATCAGACAATCGCGGTGCTATTGTTTTAAGGATCTCCAAAGATGTTTCTGCATACAAAGAGAACGCAAAAAACACACATAAGTCTTCGTGTTCTTCTTTTTTTCTAGGTTTTAGGACATTACTGTAACTACATGCACATGCCAGATTTTCGTTACGCTCCCCAATACTTTCGAGGTATGATACATGACAATCACTCATTGCAGCGCCTCAAGTTTTCTGATTTTAGCTTCAAGCCCCATCACTTTTGACAATCCGATCGGCGATAACTCACATGGACAGCAAGTAGTGACACTCCGTTATGACGCAGTCGATCAATTTCTTCACCAAATTCGAACTAAGACCTTTGCAAAAGGAACATGTGTAGTTATGTTGTGTCCTAATCTCTTAATCTCCTCGCTAAAATCTGCTGATCCGGCCTATTTCAGGGAGATAGTGGAGGTCCACTGCTTCAAATGGACGAAGATGGACGTCATATACTCGTTGGGATTTGTAGTAGCGGTGATAGCTGCAATCAGCATAGCAAGAGTACGCCTATCACAAGTCTGAATGTGAAAGATTTCTTTCCTTGCGTTTTTTCAGATATGTTGAACTATTTTACTGACGTTCGTGCTAATTTGGATTGGATCTGCAAACATTCCGGTGAAACTTCATTTGCATATCCATCGGATTTTATTTATTTTTTTCTTTCTTTAGGTGTGTGCCCAGTGGAAGAAAGTGCTTACAAGCAACCAAGAAAACTTTAAAGTCAAGTTAACAATGTTCTGACAGATGATAAAGATGGCATGTTTAACACATTCACGATAAGATTCACAGGCCGATTTTTCGATTACTGCCGTTTTGAACCAGAGCCTTTCTCGCTTGTCAATCCACCCGTGGGTCGTACTGTCCGGAATAGTAGTCTTTTTGGAGAAAGTTCAAAACCTTCAAAAAATCTCATTCCCGAGAATCTATCCTATCTCAAAATATCTCCGAAATATCGCAGAGGGTAATCGAAGGCGCTCATTATCAAAAAAGAAATTATTTCAGTTTCTGGCGTTATATGTTAAGGACGATAGTCATTTAGTGCGAACCCAACCTCATGGATTTTCATGGAGAAGTGTGTTTTGGGGTTATTTCACGTGCTGATCACGATCATAGTGTCCCCTTCAAAGTTGCCCACAGTAAGGTTACGGTAGCAGTACGGAAAAATTTACGCAAAAATTAAGAAATTGGTGTAAGAAGGCAGTATTGAGACTTGAGACTATCATTTTCGTAATCAGCATGCTAAAAACCTACATATGTGAGATTTGAACTTCCCGGGTGAACATTACAAAAAAATCAATGAAATCAATAAAATCGAAGATTTTTTGATGGACTAGCAAGTGTCTTCTGCTAGCCGCGAGTTACTCGTGCGTGTGCACTTGGATTTTCAGAAACAGCATCATTCCGCAAAGAATTTGAGCTAAAGTTTGTACTTTATCTCTATCTACAATATACCTACCGTAACGTTACATTACAGTCTCCCGATCCCGCACCACCTTCATTGGAACTTTGCCTAGGTGTCCCCAATCATGTGCCAGAATCCCGTAGACTTCCATCGTAAAATGACAAAAATAGAGCTTCAGGAATCTTACGACCCACGGTGGGTCGTATGGTCCGAAACGGCAGAGCTTTTTCCTATGGTCCGACACGGCAGAGCTTTTTCCTATGGTCCGAAACGGCAGAGCATTCGCATTCACGTGAATGCGTTAGAAGGTCAAGGTGTTGCGTCATAAGCTACAGGTGGAAGGAAGTGTAGTTACCGTATTCTAGTCTATAACATAGCAAATCATAAGCTTTCTCCAGACGATGACATCTACTGCTGTTATTAAACCTTATTGGAATGCATTGTTAGTTGTGATTTTTCAAATTGTTGGATCTTTTGCGAAAGCACGCTGGATTTCGCTTTCGAGAAAAAGCGAAGGAATTATACGGGTGGCCGAGAAAAATGGGCGTCACATCTTTCGTTGCAAAATGTTTTATAGAAAACGAGCTTCTGTAAAATTATCTTTGCATGTGAAAAAAGATGTTTTATTGTGTTGATATTACAATACATGCATACAGAATTCAGCAGCTTATCTTGAAGGTAATGCGTCAAGAACCGTTATACGAAGAATGTACCCGTTGCGAGGTTATGCAATGCCTTCAAAAAACTGGAACCCACAGCTGAAAATCGCAAAAATTTGAAGTCCCACCTTCGAGGTCTCCCCTTGATTTTTCAGCTCCAGTTAGGGTCAAAAGTGCATTAAAACATCATAGGTTTTGATCACTTGTGGTCTCAAAAATTTCAGCATAGAAATCTTGAAACCATCGCTGCGTATGTTCAAAAATTTCGTTTTTAAAATAAATTCCGTTACAGTTTCTTAGTCATGCTCTAAAAAAGTCCGAAACTCTCGGCAAAACCTCATTTCCAGCATGTTTGAAAAGGGATAAAAGAATATCCATTGGCATCACACCTCCAAGGAGAGTTACAGTAATCACGCTCTGTAAAGCTTTAACCTTCATTTTCTCTTTCACATTTTTATATTCGTTTTTTTCCTTTCCAGATTTTTTTATGGTTGCTGAAGCTGTTGGAGTTGCTGTTGCTATAATTGCTTATAATTGATGCTAATTATTATGTCCATTATTTCTTAGATACTCCTTCGTGATGAAATCTAGAAAGGGAGTCGAGAATCTTTTCGGACGCTGATGTACAAACGCACAAAGAAAATACCGAGTACCATTATAAATAGGCATGCGACAGAATAAATTTGTAATCATCTAGCTCGCCATTCCAAAGTTTGATGACATTGCGTGGCTTAGCCTGAAAACGGCAGCTACGGTCGCAAAACAGTTGGGGTTTCAACAGCAATTAGAAACTTTTTGCGCTATATTCTTTCAATTCGCAAGTGGAATGAAACACATGCTTCAATGAAAAAGCAGCGTTCAGAATGAAAAGAGTTTGAATGTGAGTCACGCATACATAAGCAAGCTTGCCGAAGGAAATGCCAGGAAAAACACCTGCACCGGTAAATAAATAGCAAGCAGCGATTTCGCACAGACTTCACATTTATGACAGCCCTTTTTCTTCTATTTCTCACAAGCTCACAGATACAAAGTCAAAAACTCACAACGGAGGAGAATGAGCTCAACAGCAAGAAATGCGGTGTTCATTTTCTAGGTAGATGAAACTTCACTTTGTTCACTGACGTGTACAGGGCTGCCAATTTGATCAATTTCAGGGCAGTCCATTCAGAGAAATCGTTTGGTCAAAAAGTCTTATGGAGGTCGAGAATCTGAAGAAAATGAGTATCCTTGGACTGTAGTACTACTGCAACATGGTATATTACATAATTTGACAGTGTGGCGCGATATATGGCATTCTATGTTCATTTTCAGGAGAAATAGCGTGCAGTGGTGTTTATCTCTACGACATATTCTAACAGCTGCTCACTGTGTTTTGGACTTCGACGAAGAGAAAAGACAAGAGCTTTGCGCCATGAACCAGTCATACAAGTAGGCTGATTGATTTTATTCTTGATAATTTCATTATAATAAAATAGCACGTCAAATTTATTCACTTATATTCAGCATCGTTTCGCTTCTAGTGGAGCCAGAAGATAGATCAGTCTTGATCGGTGGAGGGAAAATTCGCTGCAATAGCGCTCCCTGCCAATCTAATCAAACCTTATATAGAGCACAAAAGGCAGATACTTCTGTTAAGCAATCCATTTGTGACAACATCTTATGTTCTCAGATCACAACAAAGGAAATTAGCATGTGTAGCGTCAAAGATGATCTGGCTCTGATCGAACTTAGTCGGAATATCTTGGAAAGCGATTCGACGCCGATTTGTATGCCCGATGATTACACGCAACTAAATGATGTCCTTTATGCAACCGGCATCGGAATAGACCGTGAGTGAGAAAGCCAAACTGCCCTTTATTCAAATAGAATCTAGCCAGCGAAGGTGTGTTGTAAGAGCCTTCATTCGAATCGCCCGTCAAAGCGCTGCGGACCTGGTTGGTCAGCACGACGGTTGCGATAGGTTGGCTAGGGGGCTATGTACGAGTGAACTGTACATGCAAGCCTACTCGTTCACTTTTATTCATCTGTAGTGTCTCGGTGAAATTTCTGCAGAATCTTACTCTGTTGCAATTTTAGCTTCAAGCCCTATCACTTTTGACAATCCGTCAGGCCCTTACTCACATGGGCAGCAAGTAGTGGCACTTCGTTATGATGCAATCGATCAGTCACTTCATCAGATTCGAACAAAGACTTTTGCGAAAGGATTGTTTCCAGTAATGTTTCATTAAGACCCTTTCGTCATCCTGCTAAAATCTGCTGAATTGGATAAATTCAGGGAGATAGTGGAGGTCCACTGTTTCAAGTGGACGGGGAGGAACGCCACATCCTTGTAGGGATCAACAGTTATACAGATCTAAAATCTCCTGAGCCCAACGAAAGTACGCCTTTCAGGATTGCGAACAAATCACGGTTTGGGTCTTGCAGATATGATAAACTATTTTAATGAAGTTCGGGAGAATTTGGATTGGATCTGCAAATATTCAGGTACTCCAGTACGCCCATCCCCCCAAAGTTTTTTTTCGCTAATTTAGGTGTGTGCCCAGTGGAAAAGGAATTTGGTTTTCCAAGCCAGCAAAGGAATTATGCACAAGCAATTACGACTTTGTACAGCAAAAGTCAACAATAATCTCAGCAAATTTGCATTCTTGAACGAAATCATCATCATAGATCAAAGCAATCGCTTCAGAAGCTACCCCAGAAAGAAAGTGTAATGCTACTGTATCTTGCTTTATATCATCAGATTATAAAACATTGATAAGATGCTTTCACGAATTTCTACCAGAGTCCACACACACATTATAACGAGATTTCTTGCAAAAGTTTCAATAAATTCTTTGATTTCGTTACGACTTCTCCGCTATCCCATTTACAAAGTAAATTCACATGTTATTTGAAGGATAAGGAGTGGCTGAAGTATAAGCTAGAAGTTTCTGATGAATTTTTTTTTCAGATTTTGTTGTTTCTTTCTGAAGCTTTTATCATATATTGAATCTTTGCAGCAGTTTTCGCTGTATGTCAGCCTTTATTCTAATCATCAATGCTAATCAAAAGTAAAAGATGGCGTTCTATTTCGCTAATTAAGACAGTGCAAGTGTGAATGGCATACAGCCTAGTAGATTTGCCGGTAAATTTTGGTTTCTCTGTGGTGACGACAACGTTCGCGCAAAAGCTGTCACTTTCGCATGTCGACAATCTGCTCACGACTTGCATGTACAACTTTCTAAGCGCACATTGTGATCGTTTACGCGCAACTATTGTTTGCAACGCAAAAACACTTTTATTTATTAAAAAGGGACCTTTTCTGTTGTGATGACTGAAGCAGTAAAAACAATAATTCTCTTTATCATCCTTTACCTTTGGCAAGGCGTAAGTATTTTTTAAAAAAATTTACAACCAGTTGATTCTTCACCAAGGACGAAGTGAAGTATTGATAGTTGAAGTTGGTGTTCTTCTTAGGGCTTACGATGAGAATAAAAGCTCTTCAACAGGAAGTTAGTGTGGGTAATTTTATCCCTCGAAGGGAATGGATTTGAGATGAGATAAGGAGATAATCATATGTTTGTTCCGTCCAGTGATAATATTGCGCTTTTGCGAAATTTGAGGAAAAATTCTAAAACGTCCAATGTATCGAAAAGAAAAGCATGATAGTGATCCGACA